GAAAGGATTGTTCAGTTAGGTATAAACATTAAATACTGGCAACAAGGGGGAAAAATTGGAGCATTTTGTACATTAGACTGGTAGAGAAAATCCCGAGCAACCAGGGTGCTATTGGCAAAAGAATCCTCATCGCTAGTTTGTCTGTTCCTATGCTTCTGTTTTTTCCTAAAACCTCATCGTGGTGAAGTTAGTTTTACGTCAGACGTTAGATATTCAGTTACGCATCAACAGCGGAGATGTTCATTGCCTGTGCCCCGCTTGCTCCCATCACGGTGCGGGGAACTGTTACACCAAAGCTCCGCTGAGTCCGCGGGTTAGGGACCGCCAATAAATTACCATTGCATTGAATGGAGTCTGCTAAAAAATAATAATAATAATAAAATAAATTAAATAAGAAAAAAGAAAAAAGGGAATCAAATAAAAAGAAACAAAAAAGGGATTGTGCATGTATGTTTTATAAAATATTTGTTATTTTTATGTATTTTGAGGGTTAATTAGTTAATGCATTTTTTCAATATCTTCCAGGTCAATCAATCTAAAAATGCCAAACCAAGTTATTATAGTAGTCCAACTCCTCAGGTATCACGCACACCTTTTGGTTTTCCAAATTAACCCTTTGTGGGATTTTTTGGAATTTTTTTCCTTGGAAATCTGTGATTTTTTTTCAATAGCTTCTAAGGTAGATGACCTACCAACTCCAAACTAAAAATCCCACAAAGGGTTAATTTGGAAAACCAAAAGGTGTGCGTGATACCTGAGGAGGAGGACTACTATAATAACTTGGTTTGGAGTTGGTAGGTCATCTGCCTTAGAAGCTATTGAAAACAAATGACAGATTTTTAAGGGAAAAATTCCTAAAAATTTCACAAAGGGTTCATTCGGAAAACCAGAAGGTGTGCGTGATACATGCGGAGTAGGACTACTATAACAACTTGGTTTGGTGTTTTTAGATTAATTGACCTGGAAGATATTTTAAAATGTATTAACTAATTAACCCTCAAAATACATAAAAATAACAAATGTTTCATAAATCCCTTTTTTATTTTTTTATCAATCTCCTTTTTATTTCTTTATATATATATTTTAGCAGACTCCATTCAATGCAATGGTAATTTATTGACGGTCCCTAACCCGCGGACTCAGCGGAGCTTTGGTGTACAGTTCCCCGCACCGTGATCGAGCAAGCGGCGCACAGGCAATGAACATCTCCGCTGTTGACGCGTCACTGAATATCTAACGTCTGACGTGAAACTAACTTCATCACGGTCTAAACCTCTCTGTTCTTGGGAGAGTATAAAATGCCCAAGTACCGACTGTGTTCCAAATTTAATACATTTAATGTGCATCTTAAACTACAGTTGTACAGTTGCCTGTTCATCATCGCTACAGACTCGACTCCCATAGCTGCACAGTCTCAATGACTCACGGTCATACAAACTCTCCTGTGCTGTGGCGTCATAGGAACGGCTGGCGGTGGCCAACTGTGCAGGGGCATTGTGATTGTTGGCCCTGCTTTGATCACCCAGTGCACGGTGTGCCCAAGCATTCGTCTTCTTCTCCCCACACGCGCCCAACATTGTCGGTCTGTGAAACATAAATGGGCGTTTCTTCGCGGCCCGGACACCTTGTTTTTTTGTTTGTTTGTTTGTTTGTTTGTTTTTGTTTTTTTTTTACATCGTATGAACCGTATTGTGTATTACAGGCGGGTAGTAATTACACACAGGTGGGTCAGGACTAAACCAGGTTTAAACCAGGACTAATCTTGGATTTAAGAGAGAGAATGCAGAGCAGTTTGTCCGCAAAGCGCGATCGGGCAATTGCCCCGTTTAACTCCGTGAGGTACGGAGCTGAGCCGATCCTTTCTCCTGCGGTCACCTCCGAGCCCGTCCTGACACTGAGTCCTGTTTCAGTTCTGGTTTAGTCCTGTTTTAGTCCTCGTTCAGTCGTGGATTAGTCCTCCTCTTCAGTCCTGGAATCAGTCCTGGGTTAGTCCTGGTTTAGTCTTGGTTCAGTCTGTGGCGTAGGCAGCGCAAATGTTTGATATAATCTCGGGTTAATGGGCAGGTGTGGTCCCGTAGTTCAGGGGTCTCCAAAAATTAACCGTGCAGGACGCTGCTCTGTTGGGCTCCATTACGAAATAAATGAATCTTCAGTTCGTTACATAAAGAAGGAGGAAAATAACATGACCACAGCAGGAATAAGTTTAAAGCAGGAAGTAAAAAGGGTTGCACCTGTCCAGTCTGAGAAAAGTGTATAAAGTTGACTACTTCGTGGATTTCACCTATCGCAGGTTATTTTTAGAACTTAACCCCACGATAAACGAGGGACACTGTCCTCTCACCTCACAACCTCTGCACATGGCCTCCCACTTGTCCCGACCGGGACGGAAAACGGAGAAGTTCTTGTACAAGTCATTGTTAAATGCGCATTTGTGCTTCGGTATGTTGCAGACTGACCGACTGTTTTGTGTCTCGCTCCTTCTGAGTCACAGACGCTACGAGAGACGCTCAGTTTAATGCCCCCAAAATGAACAGTGCTGAAAACCCGGACATTTGCATCTCTTCAAAAAAAAAAAAAAAAAAAAAAAACCCGGACGCCCAATTTTTAAGGGTTCAGGTGATGATTTCTTGGGATCATGGGATAGTTTCTCGGGATTCTTATTTAATTAATCAACCACAGCCCTTGCAGTGACAGGCCTAAATGTAATATCTACAAAAACTGTAGTAATCAAATAACCTAACATTAAAAGTGAGAGTCACTTGGACATAGCCTGGCTTTGAACATGTCCTAATGTCAGTTGTGTTGTTTTGTGTCAGTGCCTCTGCAGAGTGTGGATGTTCAGGTGGATGTGAAGGACCATGTCGCCACAGTGGTGTCAACGCTGCTCTACAAAAACAAAGAGGAGAAACCCATCGAGGTGGTGTTCGTTTTTCCCATGCCCAGTGAAGCAGCCGTCTGCCATTTCAGTGCTAAAGTTGGAGAGACTCTTATCGTGGCTGAGGTGAAAGAGAAGAAACAGGTACGTCCAAAAGAAATGAAGGTGCATGTGAAACACAACAGGCAAACAGTTCTGACAAGTAATGTATCATGCAGTGCTGTGAACAAAACAGGTTACTGCTTCATCACCAAGAACTTGTAGGTCTTTATGATAGGAACAGCAATGTAGTCATTATTTCTTTTTAACTAATTAAAAATGTGTTATTATTGTAGTTATTATTTTGGTTCTAAATTACTTTAATTAACTAGGCTGACAAAGCCTAGCCACGTGAAACTACTACAGCAGGAGCCAATCTTAGAGAGTCTATGGAGCCAAAAGAAACATGGTTTCCTGACCTTTGCATTCAACATGTAAAGTAACTGTAAAATAATCTAACTCATTTCCAACATTCATTTTCAACACTACCTGTTCCAGGCTCGTGAGGAGTATGATGATGCTCTGAGCTCCGGTCAACAGGCCTTTCTATTGGAGGAGAGCGACCAGAGTCCAGATATATTCTCTATGAGTGTTGGCAGTCTGCCCCCTGGAGAGAGCGCCTCCATCAGGCTGGAGTATGTCACTGAGCTGGATGTGCAGGCCGATGAAGCTCTGAGATTTTGTCTTCCTGCTGTCCTCAACCCTCGATACCAACCTGCAGGTCAGACTGCTCTGAGGCTGGTTCCAAAAACAAAATAAATTTATGATTTACAAACTCTAATGGGAAAGATGAAAACACTGCAAAATAAATGACACCAAAGTTTATCTGAGATTATGAATGTACTTTGAACTGCGCATGCTGGAATTTGGCAAAATCCCTAAATGTTAAGTAAAAAAATTAAGATAAAATTTTTAAATGTTAAAAAACTGCTCAGCATGTCAGCCAGTCAGTCTCAAGACCATTCAAACACATCTAAGAATGTTGAGGAGAAAATTCTGTTTGTCGACTGGACCAAAGTTAGTTTGGTTGAAGATGTTTCACAGCTCATCCAAGCTGCTTCTTCAGTTCTGGTCAGACGCTGGTGGTCACTTCCTTATATCTGTCTGCAGGAAGGAGCTAACGAACTACTCTGAAACTAACACACCTACTTGTTTACAGTTTCTCTTAGTTAGTTAGGTCTATTGACCTGTAATGGAGTGTGGGGTCTAATTAGCATAATAATTCAGGGCCATAATGGGTGCCCCCTCACCTCTGGACCTGACCTGGCTACATCTGTTGTTCTCTTGTTTGTTTTGAATTAGGTTTGAGGATGGAGTTGTAAATAGGAGATAGATGGTGTCTGAAGCCTCCATTTCTGTTTAGAGAAAGATTCTCTTTCTTATCTTCTTAGCAGCTTGGATGAGCTGCAAAACATTTTCAAGCAAACTAACTTTGGTCCAGTCAACAAACTGAATTTTCTCCTCAACATGGATTCTACCTCAACGACTGAGGGATTCTTCACACATCTAAGCATGTTGTTGTAATAGTTGTAATCAAACCTACAAACCCTGTAGCTTAGTCTTCTTCAGACCAGAAATGCAGTTAAGCATGTTTCCAAACTGGTTCAGCCCTGGTGCATGGATGATGATTATAGATCATGTGTTTTTACAGGAACAGAAAGCAGCAGTGTGAAATTGACATCACTCCCATCTTCTCTGGTGCCCTATGATCTGACCTTTTCGGCCCGAGTCGAGTCACCGCGGTCAGTCTCCAGTATAGAGTCCAGCTGCACCATGGACCCGGTGGAGTACCTCAACCAAGATCAAACTAAGGCATCGGTAAACAACGCTGATGTTGTCTATCCACTGTAGAAATGACTACTTCAACAATAGCTCATCTGTGTGATCAAAATATTCATATCCGCTTGTAACAGCAATCTTGTCCTTTTGGTCATTACCCAAAGCACTTGACCATAGGAAACAGAAGATTGTAGATTGACCGGTGAATCAAGAGCTTTGCCTTGGGACTCAGTTCCTTCTTCACCACAACGCTCCGATACAGGGACCACATCAGTGCAGATGCTGCACCAATCCGATCCCCTACAAAGACAAAACAAGCAAATAATATTAGTAATTAATTAGTATGAATGAAATAGGGCAGAACACTAATGATGTAAACACACACACACACAAACACACATATATATCAGGAAAAAGGAACACGAGAAACTAGAAAAATACCAGGGGCTCAAGGAGGAGCTGGAGAAAGCCAGGAAAGTGAAGGCATCAGTGGTGCGTGTGGTGATGGGAGCACTTGGGGCTGTAATATATGTGTGTGTGTGTGTGTATATATGTATATGTATATATATATATATATATATATATATATATATATATATAATTTATTTATATTTATATATCATTTAAACCCTATTAGAGCTACACAAATATTACACTATAAACTGCATTAACCACATTTTGTTTGTCGGTAGGTGAAACTGGCAGCAGGACACAAGTTTGACCGAGACGTGGAGCTGCTCATTTATTACAAAGACAGTCACCAGCCCTCAGCTGTGGTGGAGGCAGGACAGGCCTCAGCCAAACCTGGTGAGCACTCGCTACTCTGTGTGGTCTACTGCCATCTAGGGGTAAAAGAAAGGTTTGCAGTTGAGTCTGACTTGTATTTTTGTTTTATTTATTTTTATTTATTAATTTAAGCATGTGTAGAGCTGTGATGTGAAAGTGTTATGTTCAGTAAATGATAGAACACTGATTCTCCAACAAGTGAATTTTTATCAAAATTTTATAATGGTTCCAGTTGGTCTATGAAATTGTCAAAGTTTATAACACTTATTACAAGTCTGTATGCATAGACTGCTGTAAATTCTAATTCATCAGTTCAATTCACATTTGCAGTATAGACTTTGTGAATTAGTTTAAATTATTGTCTGCTTTAAAATTTGTGTTTTACTCTTTTGAATTCAATCTTTGTTTTCATTTCTCTTGTGGCGTTATTTTTTGTGTTTTAGCCTGTTACCCTTTCTTCACATATTCAGACACTTAGTAATACACCTCATCTACTTTAACTGTGAAACTGTGAGGAAAGCAGTGTTTCAATTTGTGTGTATTCATCACGCACACTTTGACAGTGTGAATTAAAGGTTGTATAGAGGATTTTCCAAGGAACGAGAAATCCAGCGACTGTCCTTTTTCAAATGTTGCGCATGCGTGAAACCACCCCCCCTGCACATGACTTGTAAACAACTAACTACAGTGTTGGTTAGGCAAGGCGGAGAAGTGAGGAGCGGCGGACAGGACGAGAGAGGAGCAGGGAGCAGGAGAGAGGAGAGAGGAGAGGGGAGCGGTGCGCGGAGATTCCGTGCCCGGAGAAGTGAGGAGCAGGGGGAAGAGCGGAACGGGCAGCGGGGACAGGAGCAGGAAAGGGGTGCAGAGAAGGGTGCGCGGAGATTCAGTGTGAATGAACTAGCTACAACACGCAGCAGCAAGCGGACTCTTTCTTTGCCTTGAAAATTACGTTTTCAGACATAGGATATCGCTTTCGTGTCCTGAAAAACGTTTGTCTAGCTCTTGGAAATAAAGTAAGTTTTCATAATAAGCAGAAGTGACCTGTCCAGGAGTAATTTGGCGACCAGTGCGTCAGTCTTTAGACCCTGCGTCTGCTTCAGTTGCGTCATCGCTGGAATGAATCTCCAAGAATCACCTTAGTTTGGCTTCGCTGCTTTTCCCCTTGTCTTCTTCTTTCAGTGACCTCAAAAACGGACTTTCTTTTGCGGCTAACTGCTCCTGGATTCTTGTCTGCCATTGCAACAAACTTTGTGCTAACTGCGAGGAAGATATAGGTAAAAAAAAGCCGCTAAGAACTGTTGCGTTGGTGGAGTAAACAGCGTCTGTGCGTCTTGCGTCTTGCGTCTGTGGACTGCGTGACAGGCGTACGTAAACCACGTAACGGCAGCGCGCAGGCAAGTCAGTTATGCTAGAAACGTAGGGAGTTTGATTGACAGCCTGTCAGCTAACAGATAACGAGGCAATGTCGTTATCTATTGGCAAATGTTTAGCCCCACCACGTCCAGAGTTGATAAATTTTTATTCTCTTTTCTTTGGTCATCATAATTACAAGGCTACTGCACCTCTATAATGCTATCATTGACAATTTGAAACAAAAAAAATCCTCCATACAACCTTTAATGTACAAATATAATAGTAACAGCTGCCTGTTGTTTTCAGGCTCTATAATGGGAGACCCAGCCCTGATGCTGAGCCTGTACCCGGAGTTCCCCAAAGACATTATGTCATCTGTGTCTTCCTCTGGAGAGTTTGTGTTTCTATTGGATCGATCTGGAAGTATGGACTGTTCTATGGGCCACAGAAGAGAGTCAGGGAGTCGGATTGCCAGTGCACGGGTATGCAGTGCGTACATAGGCTGTATACAAGAGCAAACTGTTATAGTTCAGCTTTTCTCTCACTATAGTTTTATGTTCTCAGGACACTCTGCTGCTGCTGCTCAAGAGCTTACCCATGGGCTGCTACTTTAACATCTACAGTTTTGGATCCACTTTTGAACAAATCTTTCTGTAAATTATTTTTAAAAATCACAGTATTGCAATCTCTGCACAAATCCCCGAGACACACATCTAAAGATGGTTTGGCTGTGTCTTTTTTTACAGGGAGAGTGTGGAGTACAGCCAAAAGACAATGGAGGAGGCTCTGAAAAAGGTGGAAAAGATGGAGGCTAACCTGGGAGGAACTGAGATTCTGGCTCCTCTAAAACGCATTTACAGTCAGGGCTGCATCCCCAACCAGCCCAGACAGGTACATTCAGATGATCTGTGTGTCTGTTCAGATTAGCCTGCAGTGGTTCAGGTCTAGTCCAGGTTTAAGGCTGGGTTTATTCCCAATTTGGATGTGGTGTGCATGAATGCAGAGGTAGAGGGCAGATTTGACTTATTTCAGATATATATTTTACATTTGATTGTCCTGGTTTCAGACCAGTTTCGTCCTGATGTACTTCGTGGTTTAGTCCTGGTCTAGTCAAGTATTAAATTCAGATTTAGTGCTATTTAGTCCCAATTTCTTTTTTGTACCAGTGTGAACAAACCCTTTATTTCTTTCAACACATAATACAAAGTTTAAAGTTCCTGTACTTGACTTATTTCTGGGATATTTACTGTCTTTACTTTATTTACTCTGTCACTGCTGCATGAAATGTAAAACTGTCTGAACTGTGCTCTGTAGCTGTTTGTCTTCACTGATGGAGAAGTAGAAAACACCAAAGAAGTCATCAACCTGGTCAAGTCTAATGCAGGCTCTCACAGGTAAAATACAGCATTGACTGAACTTGTGTCCTGTTTATTGTGTGAATCAAACCTCTTTATGTCTCAGGTGTTTTTCTTTTGGGATTGGAGAAGGAGCCAGTTCTGCTCTTATCAAGGGTTTGGCCAAAGAAGGAGGAGGACACGCCCAGTTCATCACTGGAAATGACAGGATGCAACCCAAAGTAACACATCACAATTGTGATTCATAGAGATTGCTGCTTACTCAAGATGTTCACCACCAGTGACTGTGACAGATTTTTAGTATTGTTATTTATTATTGTTGTGTTGCATTATTTTGATGCCAGCTCTGACTAGTGCACACTGTTGATGTGTCTTTTTGCAAGACACTTCATCCATATTTCTTATGTATATGTGTGGTGTGAGTGTTGGTGATCGGGGCCGTAGGTGCAGATTGGTTACCACAGTTCCATCAGGCTGCCCCAGGGCAGCTGTGGCTGTAGAAAAGCTTATCACTAATGAGCACTGGGAGTGAATAAAAAATACACAGTTGTAAAGGGACTATTAGTGTTTGGAAAAGTTCTGTGTATGATTAATATAAAACTACCCTAAAATGGATCAGATAACTTCTATAATCCCTGTGTTCTCTCCAGGTGATCCAGTCTTTGCGCTTCGCCATGCAGCCAGCAGTGGTGGACATCTCTGTGAAATGGGACCTGCCCAAAGGGGTGTCTGCCTCTGTGCTGTCCCCACCTCTCACATCCATTTTCCAGGGACAACGGTCACTGCTGTACGCCCAACTCACTGGACAGGTGCTCACTGTGGGCTGTAGGGGGCAGTACATTTCTGTTTAGAGCAATGGCCAAAAGCTGTGGTGTATTTTAGAGCAAAGAGGGAGCAGAGGGCTGTGTGACTGTCAAGTACAGCCTGGCAGGACGTCCCACTGAGAACAAGCTCAACTTCAGCCTCAAACCAGCGGAGGACACTGGGTGAGTGTGAACACACTGTGTGTCTAAAGGTAATTCAACATGAACAGTTGGCAGTGCTGGAGATGGACTATATAACATATAACACAAGAGAGATTGTTATATGTTCAAACACAGCAAAGCCCATTGTTAAACAGCTTTTAAAACCACGCTGTACATTGTGTAGTTTCATTTAATCAAAACACTACACTATTATTTTAATAACATTTGTGTATCAAGCGCCAACAGAGAATGTCTGACAAACATCTGCTGCCACAGTGAAGAATTGTATCTCAAATTAGGATATGAGAAATTAATTTAAAATTTAAAAAATGTAATTACACTCACATGAATTACATGAACCACCCAAGAATAATAATAAATCCTGTAAACAATTCAACCCAAAACATGCACATTAGACAAAATCCTCCAGCTAGGTGGTCCTGACCAAACCAAGATCTGGAGATGGGTCCCTGACCTCTGCACGGCAGCTGCCCACTACTCCTAACAGGGTGCCACAGCAGCACTGAAGAACTGGTCAAATGTAGAGAATGAACTTCCTCTATGGAGGATAAATAAATTCACCATTAACCTCAGCACTTGTCTGTTTAATGTAGTTTTCTGTTTCCTGTTTATGTGCAGACTCACAGTGCACAGGCTGGCAGCACGCTCTCTCATTCGATCTCTGGAGCAGGAGCAAGAGGGCGCTAGAGGACAGAAAGACGACGCTGTGAAGAAGAAAATCATTGATCTGAGCGTCCAATCAGGAGTCAGCAGCTCCTTCACTGCCTTCATCGCCGTGAACAAAACCAGCGGAGAAGCCATTCAAGGCCCTCTGCTGAGAAGAGATGTCCCTTTACCAAGCAAGTCCCAAAACTAAGCAACATTTTCCTCACTGAAAAAAACTATATATTAACATGAACATGATGCCAGTGCATGTAACCCGGCAATACTCAATACTCAAAACTGTAACTGTAAAGACAGACAAACATCAACTCTGATTTGCAATGATTACAATCTCGAAAAAGTATTTATTTTAGTTTCAGCTGTCCTGTACATAATCCTGTATTAATCTCTCCCACAGTGTCCAGAGTCATGTTCCTCAAAAAGAAGTTTTCCATGGGAGTGATGGTTTGTAAGTACAATCCAATACTGACAATGAAGTAATGTAATGTAAGCGGTACATGTATATGGGCTGTCCACTGAAACATGCTCAACAGTACAGGTGCAGTCAGTTCAAATTAGCGGTTTAAAAAAAGTAAAAATAAAAAAATAAGTATCTGAATATGAAGAAAGGTTTTTATAAGGTAATATTCTGTTGTTTCCTCCACAGGTAGTGTACCTCCTGGAACTTTTGATGGTAAGTGATTTTGCGACTTTTAGTTTGTTATAACATAATGATGTGCAAATCAAGCCGCTATCTAAGAAAATGTCTTTTTAGCTCCTTCTTAACATTTTATTTTGTTTGTCTTTTTGTAACGGGTGTTATTTCTGAAGGGCACCTGTCTGTCAAAGCCACATCAGTCAAAAAATGTGTTAAATAAACCTGAGCTGAAAGATGAGATCATATTTACACTGACATTGGAGGAGGGGTGATGTAGGTGGAGAAGAGAGGCAAGATGTTCATGGTGGCATGTACCCCACAAACACAATGAGGGCTGAAGGCTTTTTGTTATTATAATTAGCTCTGTTTTTTGTTTCTTCTTTAGTTCTGGGATCTATTTTTCTCACAGCTCCACCAAGTATGTATGTGCAAGAAGTAATACAGTCTGGCCCATCGACAGAAATCTGGGGCCCTGGGGCAAGACACCTCACATGTCCCCTCTTTAATATAAATGAATAGGAAGAGGGTAAAATTCTGGACCCCTAAGACCCTGGGGCCCAGAACAACAGACCTCTTTGTCCCCCCCTTGATTCCCCTGGGTGCAGTAGTTGAGAAAAGACGTCTTGCCGATCTACATGGGAGTCCACAAAAAAAACAACTACTTGAACAGAAAAATACCAGGAAACTGCATTCATATGACAATGCAGATTAAACTCATGACAATGAGTCACTTCCAAATTTTCAACTAAACCTCTTCTCCTTTTTGCTGTTGTCCCATAAATACTTGAAATCTACATAAAATAATGTTTTTCCAAATTTGTTTCTGGGTTTGGTTTAGTTTCATGTGCTGTGTGTGCAAATGTGAACGCACCCAAAGTGTCCAAACTGTCCTCTTTTGTGTTTTGCAGGGGCTTTAAATACGTGTGATGATGTGGAGATGAATGAGGATGAGTCTTCAGAAGATGATCTTGGGTTTGACTTGCCTCCCTCACCCAAAGTGCAGCGGGACCCTCTGCTGCAGGTGGTGTCCCTGCAGAAGGCTTCAGGCTGCTGGGAGTTAGAACCAGCTCTGGCCCAAGCCCTGAGCAAGACCAGCCAAGACCTGGAGAGCAAACTGCCTGCAATGGTGAGTATGGAGGTCAAGATTCATTTCCATGTAATCTATTCCTCAAAATAATTCAATTAATGTTCAATTTATTTTTATTTTATTTTACTGTTTCATTCAGGGTTAAGTGATGCGGGGAGGTACTGGTGTCATTTTCACACATTAATTTTAGAAAATCAGAAAATAATTATTCATAGAAAGTGTAATCATGTATATGTTATGCTTCATAAATATTTCATTAAAAAATATAGGTAACACTTAAAGTGTCTTGATAAAGCATGAACAAAGACTTAATTCACAATGGACAAATAGTTAATAGTTCCAACTTGGTCACGACTTAATTATTACCCTGACCCTATCTTCTAACCCCTTAAGTATTTACTAAGCCTGAATCATTCTTAATCAACTATTTGCTCATTATTTAAGACATTGTTTATGCTTTATTTCGGCCAATTAAGATGTAGTTATTATAAAATGATACCAAAATATAATACAACTGGTGCTCTTTTTCACTCTACTGAACAGTTTTCTACAGAAAAAATTCCTCTTTTTGCTTTGTGTCGCTTATTTAGGTAAAGAAAGAAGTGTGGGCCACCATTTTGGCTCTGGTCTGGCTTCATGGTCTGAAAGCTGATGCTAAGGACGAGTGGGAGCTGTTGGTCATGAAGGCTGTGACATGGCTGCGCTCACAGAACGGTAATTTCTCAATAAATTCAATTACAATTAATAACCATGTGTCTGTTTATTTTGACCAGCATGACCACTTGTCACTAATGCTGTAGGATTTGGTGAGATACATTGGGACTTGCCTCCTTTTAATATCCATGGGTTTCAGATTTCAGATGAGCTTTGGGTCACTGATTGAAATCTCTACTATCATGGTGGTGACAATGTTGAATCTATTATGTGGTTCAAAACACTCTGGAATGAATCCTTATTAGAAAACCAAACTGAAATCTAATTGCAATGATAGTAATTTTTTTTCTAAAATTGTGCAGCCTTTCTGTACATAAATAATACATTATTTAATGAACTAAATGTTTATCATTGAGTTTCTGTCTGTTTTTCTCTAGCTCAAGGCCTGAGTGAGTGTGTGGAAGCTGCCAATGCTCTTCTGGGGTGCACTGTTCAGAAAGATGCACTGGGACTCTAGATCTACTTTGTTTATTAAACTGCTCATTTAAAGGAAAATGCAAAATTGAGGTGTTCTGCAAATGTGCCTTAAATAAAGTACAATGTGTCTTTACATCATTAATACAAGTGTTAGCCATGTTCCTGCCATGTTACCATGTTGTGATAGGGTATTTTTTTTTTCTTTGCACATGTTTCTTTTGTATGCTCCAATAAATGAATTAATAAAAGTCTCTAAAATGTTGTCTACTTTTTCAAACCTACAACTGTCACATAAAAAGCAAACAGGTCTTCAAAAATATAAGGCCTATATGTTCCCATCAAAACCTCAGTTTAAAAAAAATGGGGTGAAGTTTATTGGAAGTTAGGTAAAATGGGAAGACCAACACTAGACCTGTTTCAGAATGTGTCTGACCCCCGAAGAGCAAATCAGGAAGATAGGAAATAAAATCTGACCAAAACTAGGAAAAACAAGGTCAGCACATGTTTATTATGGCTTCATTGTCCATCAGTGGACTTCACCTTAGAGCATCTGCGTGAGCACGACTCTGACTGACCGTAATCACCGGTATAAAGACGCATTTCAAACGTGTCCGGTTTAGTTTCACTTTCTATTTACTTGACTTTACGGTAACACGGATCCGTCCCAGACTCGTGAGATCGGGCTCTGATTTCATGAAGCCTGCAGTAAACCGTCAGAGCAGCTGTATTTCTGTCAGAGGTGGGACCATAACGTAGTGTTTTCTTGTATTGTTCTTCATGTTTTAATCCTCAACCGCTCTCGCTATTTTATCCAAACTATCTATTTACTACTCACATTTTATTTTTGTAGCCTTTTTAATGTTAGTCCAAAACAAAACAGCACTGAAAGACTGGAAGCCGCCAATGCTCTGCTGGGGTGCACTGTTCAGAAAGATGCACTGGGACTCTAGATCTATTTTGTTTATTAAACTGCTTATTGAAAGGAAAATTCAAAATGGAGGTGTTCTGCAAATGTGCCTTCAATAAAGTATAATGTGTCATTACATCTTTGCACATGTTTCTTTTATATGCTCCCATAAATGAATTAATAAATGCCTCGAAAATGTTGTCTACTTTTTCAAACCTACAACTGTCATAAAAAAAGTAAACAGGTCTTCAAAAATAGCAGGCCTATATGTTTCCATCAAAACCTCAGTTGTGACCTCAGTGATGACATAATAGCGTGAGCGGTTGGGTATTAAAAACACGAAGAGCATTAAGAAACTGGGCACGGTTATGGTCCTACCTCTGACAGAAATACAGCTGCTCTGTTGGTTTACTGTAAGCTAGATGAAATCAGAGCCCGATCTCACGAGTCTGAGGCAGATCCGTGTTCCCGTAAAGTGATGTCACAGAAAGTGAAACTAAACCGGTGCGTAAACTGCGTCTTCACACCGGTGATTACAGTCAGAGTCCACAGATAGCCCATGAGTCTATAATAGCATTTGCCGACTTTGTTATCTAGTTTAGTTCCGATTTATTTTCCTATCTGACACTTATCACACTCTAAACAGCGCTTACACAGTTATTTCATGCAGGAACCTCCAAAATAACCTTGCAACCGACTCCACTGCAGAACAGCAATGAAAGAGGTAATTTCAAATGGCGGTCTTCCCATTTTACCCCATTACTTCCCATAGATTTCACCCTTTTTTTTTTTTTTTTGTAACAGCGACTTTGATGGGAATATATAGGCCTGCTATTTTTGAAGACCTGTTTGCTTTTTTATGACAGCTGTAGGTTTGAAAAAGTACACAACATTTATTAATTCATTTATTGGAGCGTACAGAAGAAACATGTGCAAAGAAAAAAATACCCTATCATAACATGGGAACATAGAAGGAACATGGCTAACACTTGTATTAATGATGTAATGGCACATTGTACTTTATTTAAGGCACATTTGCGGAACACCTCCATTTTGCATTTTCCTTTAAATGAGCAGTTTAATAAACAAAATAGATCTAGAGTCCCAGGGCATCTTTCTGAACAGTGCACCCCAGAAGAGCATTGGCGGCTTCCACACACTCAGTCAGGCCTTGAGCTAGAGAAAAACAGACAGAAACTCAATGATAAACATTTAGTTCATAAAATAATGTATTGTTTATTTATATTTACAGAAAGGCTGCACAATTTTAGAAAAAAATTACTATCATTGCAATTAGATTTGGTTTTCTGATCAAGATTCAGTCCAGAGTGTTTTGAACCACATAATAGATTCAACATTGTCACCACCATGATAGTAGAGATTTCAATCAATGAATCAAAGCTCATTTGAAATCTGAAACCCATTTTAAATTAGGCAAGTCCCAATGTATCTCACCAAATCCTACAGCATTAGCGACAAGTGGTCACACTGGTCAAAATAAACAGACACATGGTTATTAATTGTAATGGAATTTGTTGAGAAGTTACCGTTCTGTGAGCGCAGCCACATCACAGCCTTCATGACCAACAGCTCCCACTCGTCCTTAGCATCAGCTTTCAGACCATGAAGCCAGACCAGAGCCAAAATGGTGGCCCACACTTCTTTCTTTGCCTAAATAACCGACACAAAGCAAAAACTGTTCAGTTGAGTGGAAAAAAGCACCAGCGAGTACCAGATATATTTTGGTACCATTTTATAATAACTACATCTTAATTGGCAAAAAAAAAAGCATACATAATGAAATAATGAACAAATAGTTGATTAAGAATGATTCAGGCTTAGTAAATACTTAAGGAGTTAGAAGATAGTGTCAGGGTAATAATTAAATAGTCACCAAATCGGAATCATTCTTAATTAACTATTTGTTCATTGTGAATTAAGTCTTTGTTCATGCTTTATCAAGACACTTTAAGTGTTACCTATATTTTTTAATGAAATATTTATGAAGCATAACATATACATGATTACACTTTCTATGAATAATTATTTTCTGATTTTCTAAAATTAATGTGTGAAAATGACACCAGTACCTCCCCGCATCACTTAACCCTGAATGACAAAGTAAATTAAATAAAAAATAAATTGAACATTAATTGAATTATTTTGAGGAATAGATTACATGGAAATGAATCTTGACCTCCATACTCACCATTGCAGGCAGTTTGCTCTCCAGGTCTTGGCTGGTCTTGCTCAGGGCTTGGGCCAGAGCTGGTTCTAACTCCCAGCAGCCTGAAGCCTTCTGCAGGGACACCACCTGCAGCAGAGGGTCCCGCTGCACTTTGGGTGAGGGAGGCAAGTCAAACCCAAGATCATCATCTGAAGACTCATCCTCATTCATCTCCACATCATCACACGTATTTAAAGCCCCTGCAAAACACAAAAGAGGACAGTTTGGACACTTTGGGTGTGTTCACATTTGCACACACAGCACATGAAACTAAACCAAACCCAGAAACAAATTTGGAAAAAACATTATTTTATGTAGATTTCAAGTATTTATGGGACAACAGCAAAAAGGAGAAGAGGTTTAGTTGAAAATTTGGAAGTGAATCATTGTCATGAGTTTAATCTGCATTGTCATATGAATGCAGTTTCCTGGTATTTTTCTGTTGTTGTTTTAGTTGTTTCTAGTTGTTTTTGTGTTGACTCCTGTGGACATGCAGCAGAACATGTTTTGTTGGTTCCTGCACTCAGGAGAGTCAAGGGGGAGACAAAGAGGTCTGTTGTTCCGGGCCCCAGGGTCTTAGGAGTCCAGAATTTTACCCTCTTCCTATTTATTTATATTAAAGTGGAGGTGTCTTGCCCCAGGGCCCCAGATTTCTGTCGACGGGCCTGACTGTATTACTTGGACTAGACCAGGACCAAACCAACCAGGGGTGTAGCATGAAATTCTGTGTGATTCTCTGCAATAGGCAATTATGATTTCAAAATTCCAGAGATCAAAACACTTTCATCTCCAAGGCTTCACACAATGTATCTTGCACATACTTTTACACCCCTCTTTGCGTCTGTGGGGTACATGCCCCCATGAAGATCTTGCCTCTCTTCTCCACCTACATCACCCCTCCTCCAATGTCAGTGTAAATATGATCTCATCTTTCAACTCAGGTTTATTAAACACATTTTTTGACCACTGTTTTCTCCTGTAATCTCCTGAAACACACTAGACTGATGTGCCTTTGACAGACTGTTGCCCTTCAGAAACAACACCTGTTATGTTCAGAAGGCGCTAGAGAGACGTTTTCTTAGATAGTGGATTCTTAGATTGTTCTAACATAATTATATACAAACTAAAAGTCGTAAAATCACTTACCATCAAAAGATCCAGGAGATCCACAATGTGGGAAGGAAACAACAGAATATTACCTTATAAAAACCTTTGTTCATATGCAGATACTTACTCTTTTGGAGAGAGGACCGGCTGCTCTTACTGGCACCTGACACAAATGTTGAAACAAAACATTAGCCAAATTGCTAACTTGAACTGACTTCACCTGTACTGTTGAACATGTTTCAGTGGACAGCCCATATACATGTACTGCTTACATTACATGACTTCACTGTCAATATTGAATTTACTTACAAGCCCTATCTGGCGGCATGAGACGACGATAAGACGTTTGGAAGACGGGCATCCCTGTGGGGGGAGATTAATACAGGATTATGTACAGGTCAACTGAAACTAAAATAAATACTTTTTCAAGATTTTAATCATTACAAATCAGAGTTCATGTTTGTCTGTCTTTACAGTTACAGTTTTGAGTATTGAGTATCGCCGGGTTACATGCACTGGCACCATGTTCATGTTAATATAGTTTTTTTCAGTGAGGAAAATGTTGCTTAGTTTTGGGACTTGCTTGGTAAAGGGACATCTCTTCTCAGCAGAGGGCCTTGAATGGCTTCTCCGCTGGTTTTGTTCACAGCGATGAAGGCAGTGAAGGAGCTGCTGACTCCTGATTGGATGCTCAGATCAATGATTTTCTTCTTCACAGCGTCTTTCTGTCCTCTAGCGCCCTCTTGCTCCAGAGATCGAATGAGAGAGCGTGCTGCCAGCCTGTGCACTGTGAGTCTGCACATAAACAGGAAACAGAAAACTACATTAAACAGACAAGTGCTGAGGTTAATGGTGAATTTATTAATCCTCCATAGAGGAAGTTCATTCTCTACATTTGACCAGTTCTTCAGTGCTGCTGTGGCACCCTGTTCGGAGTAGTGGGCAGCTGCCGTGCAGAGGTCAGGGACCCATCTCCAGATCATGGTTTGGTCAGGACCACCTAGCTGGAGGATTTTGTCTAATGTGCATGTTTTGCCTTGAGCTTTTTACAGTAAAAGCTGTTTACCAATGGGCTTTGCTGTGGTTGAACATATAACAATCTCTCTTGTGTTATATGTTATATAGTCCATCTCCAGCACTGCCAACTGTTCATGTTGAATTAGCTTTAGACACACAGTGTGTTCACACTCACCCTGTGTCCTCCGCTGGTTTGAGGCTGAAGTTGAGCTTGTTCTCGGTGGGACGTCCTGCCAGGCTGTACTTGACAGTCACACAGCCCTCTGCTCCCTCTTTGCTCTAAAATACACCACAGCTTTTGGCCACTGCTCTAAACAGAAATGTACTGCCCCCTACAGCCCACAGTGAGCACCTGTCCAGTGAGTTGGGCGTACAGCAGTGACCGTTGTCCCTGAAAAATGGATGTGAGAGGTGGGGACAGCACAGAGGCAGACACCCCTTTGGGCAGGTCCCATTTCACAGAGATGTCCACCACTGCTGGCTGCATGGCGAAGCGCAAAGACTGGATCACCTGGAGAGAACACAGGGATTATAGAAGTTATCTGATCCATTTTAGGGTAGTAAATAATAATAACGCATTAATCATATTAATCGTACACAGAACTTTTCCAAACAATAATAGTCCCTTTACAATTGTGTATTTTTCATTCACTCCCAGTGCTCATTGGTGATAAGCTTTTCTGCAGCCACAGCTGCCCTGGGGCAGCCTGATGGAACTGTGGTAACCAATCTGCACCTACGGCCCCCGATCACCAATGCTCACACCACACATACACACAGGAAATATGGATGAAGCGTCTTGCAAAAAGACACATCAACAGTGTGCACTAGTCAGAGCTGGCATCAAAATAATGCAACACAACAATAATAAATAACAATACTAAAAATCTGTCACAGTCACTGGTGGTGAACATCTTGAGTAAGCAGCAATCTCTATGAATCACAACTGTGATGTGTTACTTTGGGTTGCATCCTGTCATTTCCAGTGATGAACTGGGCGTGTCCTCCTCCTTCTTTGGCCAAACCCTTGATAAGAGCAGAACTGGCTCCTTCTCCAATCCCAAAAGAAAAACACCTGAGACATAAAGAGGTTTGATTCACACAATAAACAGGACACAAGTTCAGTCATTGCTGTATTTTACCTGTGAGAGCCTGCATTAGACTTGACCAGGTTGATGACTTCTTTGGTGTTTTCTACTTCTCCATCAGTGAAGACAAACAGCTACAGAGCACAGTTCAGACAGTTTTACATTTCATGCAGCAGTGACAGAGAAGACAGTAAATATCCCAGAAATAAGTCAAGTACAGGAACTTTAAACTTTGTATTATGTGTTGAAAGAAATAAAGGGCTTGTTCACACTTGCACAAAAAAGAAATTGGGACTAAATAGCACTAAATCTGAATTTAATACTTGACTAGACCAGGACTAGATCAGGACTAAACCACGAAGTACATCAGGACGAAACTGGTCTTAAACCAGGACCATCAAATGTAAATGCACTCTGAAATAAGTCAAATCTGCCCTCTACCTCTGCATTCATGCACATCACAAATTGGGAATAAACCCAGCCTTAAACCTGGACTAGACCTGAACCACTGCAGGCTAATCTGAACAGACACACAGATCATCTGAATGTACCTGTCTGGGCTGGTTGGGGATGCAGCCCTGACTGTAAATGCGTTTTAGAGGAGCCAGAATCTCAGTTCCTCCCAGGTTAGCCTCCATCTTTTCCACCTTTTTCAGAGCCTCCTCCATTGTCTTTTGGCTGTACTCCACACTCTCCCTGTAAAAAAAGACACAGCCAAACCATCTTTAGATGTGTGTCTTGGGGATTTGTGCAGAGATTGCAATACTGTGATTTGTAAAAATAATTTACGGAAAGATTTGTTCAAAAGTGGATCCAAAACTGTAGATGTTAAAGTAGCAGCCCATGGGTAAGCTCTTGAGCAGCAGCAGCAGAGTGTCCTGAGAACATAAAACTATAGTGAGAGAAAAACTCAAACTATAACAGTTTGCTCTTGTATACAGCCTATGTACGCACTGCATACCCGTGCACTGGCAATCCGACTCCCTGACTCTCCTCTGTGGCCCATAGAGCAGCCCATACTTCCAGATCGATCCAATAGAAACACAAACTCTCCAGAGGAAGACACAGATGACAAAATGTCTTTGGGGAACTCCGGGTACAGACTCAGCATCAGGGCTGGGTCTCCCATCAGAGAGCCTGAAAACAACAGGCAGCTGTTACTATTATATTTGTCCATTAATTCACACTGTCAAAGTGTGAGTGATGAATACACACATGTTAAAACACTGCTTTCCTCAGAGTTTCACAGTTAGAGTAGATGAGGTGTATTACAAAGTGTTTGAATATGTGAACAAAGAACAGATGAAGATAGAGAAAGCACATTCTAAAGCAGACAGTAATTTAAACTAACTCACAAAAAGTCTGTACTGCGAATGTGAATTGAACTGACAGATTAATATTTACAGCAGTCTATGCATACAGACTGGTAATAAGTGTTATAAACTTTGACACTTTCATAGACCAACTGGAACCATTATAAAACTTTGATAAAACTTCACTTGTTGGAGAATCAGTGTTCTATCATTTACTGAACATAACACTTTCACATCAGAGCTCTACACATGCTTAAATTAATAAACAAAAATAAATAAACAAAAAAAATATATACAAGTCAGACTGCAAACCATTCTCTTACCCCTAGATGGCAGTAGGCCACACAGAGTATCGTGCTCACCAGGTTTGGCTGAGGCCTGTCCTGCCTCCACCACAGCTGAGGGCTGGTGACTGTCTTTGTAATAAATGAGCAGCTCCACGTCTCGGTCAAACTTGTGTCCTGCTGCCAGTTTCACCTACGAACAAACAAAATGTAATGTGGTTTAAATGAAGTGGTATATACATTATATGAAATGTAGGGTTGTAATGAATCAAATTATAATTGTGATTTCAGTTAATATTACATTCAATTACAAAAAAAATTTCAATTGAAAATATAATGAAATTCTGTTCTGAATATGTGCCTTTCTTGTGCCACTCAAAACTAGGAGCATAAAACATGTTAACATCATTAGTCGTCTGCCCTATTTCATTCATACTCATTAATTACTAATATTTGGTTGTCAACTGGACATTCTTTTGCAGACTTAAAAAATGATTTTGTGATGGAACCCGCCTGGATAACTGAGGGACTACAAACTGTGATGTGGTCACTGTATCGGAGCGTTGTGGTGAAGAAGGGAGTCCAAAGGCAAAGCTCTTGATTGACCGGTCAATCTACATTTCTACTCTCACCTATGGTCAAGAGCTTTGGGTACTGGCTGAAAGAACAAGATTGCGAATACGTGGTGAAAATGAGTTTCCTCCACAGGGTAGCCGGACGCTCCCTTAGAGAATGGGTGAGGGTCTTGATCACACAGGAGGACCTCACAGGAGACCACCACATTAGAGTAGAAACATCCCACTGGACCGAGGCCCCAGGAAAGACCCAGAACACTCTGAAGGGAGTATATCTCTTGCCTGGCCTGGGAACACCTCGGGATCCTCCCAGAAGAGCTGGAGGAAGTGTATGTGGAAAGGGAAGTCTGGGCCTCCCTGTTCAGACTACTGCCTCCATGACCCAGCCCCAGATAAAGCGGAATAAAATGTATGGATGGTCTTTGTAGGATTCTAGGATTTTCTGAATATTTTTATCACACATATATTACATAACAGCTATAGTTGAAGTAGTCATTTCTACAGTGGATGGACAACATAAGTGTTGTTTACCGATGCCTTAGTTTGATCTTGGTTGAGATACTCCACCGGGTCCATGGTGCAGCTGGATTCTATATTGGAGACTGACCGGGGTGACTCGACTCGGGCCGAGAAGGTCAGATCATAGGGCACCAGAGAAGACGGGACTGATGTCACTTTCACACTGCTGCTTTCTGTTCCTGTAAAAACACATGATCTATAATCATTATCCATGCACCAGGGCGGAACCAGTTTGGAAACATGCTTAACTGTATTTCTGGTCTGAAGAAGACTAAGCTACAGGGATTGTAGGTTTGATTACAACTATTACAACAACATGCTTAGATGTGTTTGGCTGGTCTTGTGACTGACTGGCTGACATGCTGAGCAGTTTTTGAACCTTTTAAAATTTTGTCTTAAATTTTTTACTTAACATTTAGGGATTTTGCCAAACTCCAGCAGGCGCTGTGCAAAGTACATTCATAATCTAAGATGAACTTTGGTGTCATTCATTTTTCAGTGTTTTCATCTTTCCCATCAGTTTGTAAATCCTAAATTGACTTTGTTTTTGGAACCAGCCTCAGAGCAGTCTGACCTGCAGGTTGGTATCGAGGGTTGAGGACAGCAGGAAGACAAAATCTCAGAGCTTCATCGGCCTGCACATCCAGCTCAGTGACATACTCCAGCCTGATGGAGGCGCTCTCTCCAGGGGGCAGACTGCCAACACTCATAGAGAATATATCTGGACTCTGGTTGCTCTCTTGCAATAGAAAGGCCTGTTGACCGGAGCTCAGTGCATCATCATACTCCTCATGAGCCTGGAACAGGTAGTGTTGAAAATGAATGTTGGAAATGAGTTAGATTATTTTACAGTTACTTTGCATGTTGAATGCAAAGGTCAGGAAACCATGTTTCTTTTGGCTCCATAGACTATATAAGATTGGCTCCTGCTGTAGTAGTTTCACATGGCTAGGCTTTGTCAGCCTAGTTAATTAAAGTTATGTACAGCCAAAATAATAACTACAATAATAACACATTTTAAATTAGTTAAAATAGGCTGACCATATTTCCATTTGTGAAAACCCGGACACCTTACCGGGGGTGGGAGGTGGGGCCTTGACATTGAGCTACAGTCGTTCCTCGCTATATTGCGGTTCACCTTTCACAGTCTCGCCGTTTCGCAGATTTTTTTTTCTTTTTCTTTCTTTTTTTTTTGTGTGTGTGTCAATTTTGCATGTTTTTTTTTTTTTTTTCCACACACGGGTGGGTCAGGACTAAACCAGGTGTAAACCAGGACTAATCCTGGATTTAAGAGAGACAAAGATGAGCAGTTTGTCCACAAAGAGCGATGGGCAATTGCCGCATTTACCTCCGTGAGGTGTGGAGCTCTGAGCCGGCCCTTTCTTCTGCGGTCCCCTCCGAGCCCATCCCTACAGTGAGTCCTGTTTCAGTTCTGGTTTAGTCCTGGTTTACTCCTGTTTTAGTCCTAGTTCAGTCCTGGTTTAGTCCTCCTCTTCAGTCCTGGAATAAGTCCTAGGTTAGTCCTGGGTTAGTCCTGGTTTAGTCTTAGTCTTAGTTTGATATAATCTCGGGTTAACGGGCAGGTGTGGTGTTGTACTGCGCCGGTGTGGTGTTGTGCCGCGTGGGTGTGGTGTTGTACTGGGGGTCTCCAAAAATGGACCCGTGCAGGACTCTGTGCTGTAGGCTCCATTACGGAATAAATGAATCTTCGGTTCGTTACATAAAGAAGGAGGAAAATAACAAAAGGAAGACAGCAGCAATAAGTTTTAAGAAGGATGTAAAAAGGGTTGCACCTGTCCTGTTTGAAAAAAAGTGTATAAAATGTGTGGTGTGGGGTTTTACAGCCTTAAAATAGATATAATAATTGTAAAATATAAAGTTGACTACTTTGCAGATTTCACCTATCATGGGTTATTTTTAGAACGTAACTCCCGCGATAAAAGAGGGACCACACTTCACAACCTGTGCACATGGCCTTCCACTTGTCCAGACCGGGACGGAAAACAGAGAATTTCTTGTACAAGTCATTGTTAAATGCGCATTTGTGCTTCGGCGTGTTGCGAACTGACCGGCTGGTTGTGTTTGCTCACTCCTTCTGAGTCACAGAGAGCTACGAGAGACGCTCAGTTTAATGCCCCCAATGAACGGTAATGAAAACCCAGACATTTGCATCACTTAAAAAAAAAAATCCAGATGCCCAGGACAGGACGCAAAATACGGACATGTCCGGGGAAAAACGGATGTTTGGTCACCCTAAGTTAAAAAGAAATAATGACTACAATGCTGTTCCTGTCATAAAGACCCAAAGGTTCTTGATTGTTCCACTAACAGAGGTCGTGATGAAGCAGTAATCTGTTTTGTTCACAGCACTTCATGATACATTACTTGTCAGAACTGTTTGCCTGTTGTGTATCACATGCACCTCCATTTCTTTTGGACGTACCTGTTTCTTCTCTTTCACCTCAGCCACGATAAGAGTCTCTCCAACTTTAGCACTGAAATGGCAGACGGCTGCTTCACTGGGCATGGGAAAAACAAACACCGCCTCGATGGGTTTCTCCTCTTTGTTTTTGTAGAGCAGCGTTGACACCACTGTGGCGACATGGTCCTTCACATCCACCTGAACATCCACACTCTGCAGAGGCACTGACACAAAACAACACACCTGACGTTAGGACATGTTCCAGACCAGGCTATGTCCATGTTACTCCCACTTCTAATGTTAGGTTATTTGATTACTACGGTTTTTGTAGATATTACATTTAGGCCTGTCACTGAAAGAGCTGTGGATGAGGAATTAAATAAGAATCCTGAGAAACTATCCCATGATCCCGAGAAATCATCACCTGAACCCTTAAAAGTATCCCATGATCCACTGAATATGATACTACATGATAGCACTGGCTGAATGAAGAGGTAGACAGGGAACGAGAGAGTATCATAACTACATCTCTGCTGGCGTTACATGCACTGCAGTAGTGCAGTGTGTCTGGGTGCACATTGCAGTTGGTTCAGTGCCCACTCTCCTTGTTCTATCTACCCTGTTTCTGTTTGTGTCCCTGTACTGGCTTTAGTGCTGAGTGTGGTGTGTCAGCTTTTTGTCCAGAGGAGTGGCTCTTCCCGCCCCACATGTGCTCACAGAGCTGTAATGAGAGCACAGTGGAGGTGCTAGGTTTACAAGTGCATAGAATTGAGTGCACAAATAACTTTCTTTCTATTTCTTTGTAATAGGCAGTGTCGTAACTTCAGAAACTCATATTACTTTAGTAGGCTACTGGCAGAAATGTCTTCACTTTTTCTGCCATGTATGCAGCATACAGGAGTCCTTTGGCTTTGTCATTTCTGATCTTGAATTCATGAATAAGCATCACAAATGTACACACAGTCCTCGATAAAGCAAAGGCCGAGTTGGTCACCATCAGCCGTTCCTCTGAAGCCACAGCACAGGAAAGTTTGTTTTCTTTTGACCGTGGGTCATTGAGACTGTGCAGCTATGGCAGCGCCGAGTCTGTAGCGATGAAGAACAGGCAACCGTACAAAGTTTAAGCTGCACATTAAATGTATTAAATTCCTTAGCCAATCGCAGCCTGGTTGCTTGGGATTCTCTTTAATTTTCTCACGCACAGTCCGTATCAGTCTAATTTAAATGCCCCCCCCAGTGAGTCATACCTGCTTGCTTCTCAGGCGTAATCAATCCACAGCAACACCTCTCCATTTTCGCTTTATTTTACTTAATGTTAAGAAACCTGTAAGACAGATATAAAGATATTTTGAATGGAGTATAGCATCAGTAAAAGCTCAGTTTTATCTTTCAATGCTGTTTTGAACGGATTAACATTAAAAAGGCTACAAAAGTAAAACGTGAGTAGTAAACAGATAGTTTGGATAAAATAGCGAGAGCGGTTGAGGATTAAAACATGAAGAACAATACAAGACAAGATTAAAGCCGCGCGCGGCGATGGTGGCCCTCCCCCTGGTGGGAGGCCCCCCCCCTCCCACGTGACCGCCGGGGACTCGCGACCGCCCCGGCACGCCACTCTCTTCCCGACATCCGCCCAGGCCGACAGCTCGTCCATTAGACACATCATATAATGCACCTTTAAATATTTTTAGGAGTCATTGCGCCCCTGCTGGCCAACAGTGGAAAATGCACCATGTCCGTTATATATATTTTTGCTCATAATCATGCAGCAACTTATTCCCTGAATTTGGTACAAATCCAATAATGTTGATGTTTCATGTTTATGATAGGGGGCGCTATAGAGTTCACTTTTCATTTGTTTTATAGTGTATTATGTTCAGGCTGGGATCATGCATTAGTGATTCAAATTTCAGCTCGATGGGACTAAGCCTGTGTGTGTAAACATTTTTTAAATATTTGTGGGGGGAGTCATTGCGCCCCTGCTGGCCAACCGTGGAAAATGCCCCATGTCTGTAATAGACTTTTTTGCTTCTAATTGTGCTTAGAGTTTAATTCCCAATTTTGGCCCAAATCCGCTATTGTTGATGTTTCATGTGTATGGTAGGGGGCGCTATAGTGTTCACTTTTCATATGTTTTATAGTTTATTATATTCAGGCCAAAATCCCGCATTAGTGATTCAAATTTCAACACAATCGAACTAAGCATGTCCCTGTAATAATTTTAAAAATATTTTTTGGGGGATTCTTTGCGCCCCTACTGGCCAACTGTGAAAAATGCATCATGTCCGTAGTAGACTTTTTTTCTTGTATTCATACATAGAATTTAATCCCCAAATTTGGTACAAATCCGATAATGTTGACATTTCATGTCTATGGTAGGGGGCACTATGGAGTTCACTTTTCATATGTTTTATAGTGTATTATATTCAGGCCGTGATCAGGCATTAGTGATTCAATTTTCAGCATGATCGGACTAAGCCTGTGTGTGTAATCATTTTTAAACTATTTTTTGGGGGAGTCTTTGCGCCCCTGCTGGCCAGTGGTGGAAAATGCATCATGTCCGTAATAGACTTTTTTGCTTGTAATCATGCATAGAATTTAATCCCCGAATTTGGTACTATAGAGTTCACTTTTATTAAATTTCATATTTCATTACATTCAGGTCTGGATCACACAATTGTGATTTGAATTTGAGCTCTGTAGGACAATGTCTGTGGCCGTGACAGGTCACCGAAGAAACAGGAAATGAAGGCGTTAATCGGCGGCGTGCTACGGGCGAACCGTAAGGAGTATCAAAATTCCTTCTGATGCATTTTGTGAGTTTATGTCTCTAGATGTGACATGTCAAATCTGAGCTCATTTGGACCAAACCCCGGGGACTTGAATCTTATTGTAGATACCCAAATCAAAACTGCGGCGAATGTTTGATCCAATATGGCCGACTTCCTGTTTGTCATAGGGTCATGCTCCAACTCATCTTTTGTCTTGTCTCATTGTTCTCTATCACTGTTCCGAATTTCGTTTCCCTGTGACAAACTTTGCATGTCCCTACTCCCATAGGGGTCCAATTCTAGGCGGCGCTGTTGAGTCGGGTCACTTTGGGCATTGTCACGATGCCCATTTTATCAAATTTTTCGCCGGGCCGATCGATCTGATACCCAGGTGTGGGACTTTTCGTCCATGTTCAGGGGGTCAAAAATGCGATCGTTTGGTCGGAAAAGGGAATAATTAAAGAAGAACAATACCCCTTGCCCCTAACTTTGTTAGTGGCGAGGGCCAAAAATACTGCGTTATGGTCCTACCTCTGACAGAAATACAGCTGCTCTGTTGATTTACTGCAGGCTTCATGAAATCAGAGCCCGATCTCACGAGTCTGGGACGGATCTGTCTTCCCGTAAAGTCAAGTAACTAGAAAGTGAAACTAAACCGGACAAGTTTGAAATGCGTCTTTATACCGGTGATTACGGTCAGTCAGAGTCGTGCTCACGCAGATGCTCTAAGGTGAAGTCCATTGATGGACTATGAAGCCATAATAAACATATGCTGACCTTGTTTTTCCTAGTTTTGGTCAGATTTTATTTCCTATCTTCCTGATTTGCTTTTCGGGGGTCAGACACATTCTAAAAGAGGTCTATTCGCGGTCTTCCCATTTTACCTAACTTCCAATAAACTTATAATTTTTTTTTTTTTTTTAAACGAGGAGTCGTGCGTTGTGCAGTTTTAAAATAAAGTGGAGTTATTTCAGTTTAAAAACAATAATAATAATTTTGAACAGCCGTATAAAATATTGTAGTTAACTCTTTGCACTTTTTAAAAATTGCATTTTGAACATTTTTATTACTTTTCTTTGCTTTTATTTATCAAGGCTGCCAATGTTACTGAAAGATGCAGTGTGCAATAAAGGTGTAGCACCCCAAACTGAGTTTTACTAAATAAGAAATAAAGGGTCTACACTCTTTTATTCCATGTAAAAAATGCTTCAAAAAACATTGATAGCTAATTAAAAATAATTAAAATTGCATCAAATCACACAAAGTCAGATCATGCAGATACCATGGAGAGAAGCAAATCGGGGTTTAAATCGAGCAAATTATCCTGTAGTGTGTGGGGATGCATTGATACGATACTCACTGAAATCGGATATTGGCACCAATATTGAAAATTTTGATGGATTGGGTATTAGCTGCGAAGATTCTCAGAAAATTTCAATATTACATAAGACCAATAAAAAACTGAAATGTCAGATTTCTGAAAAGTATTTTCAGTTCTATGCTCTCAAGACTTGGTTGGGCCTCCTTTGGCATGAATTACTGCATCAGTGTGCCATGGCATGGAGGCGATCAACCTGTGGCACTGCTGAGGTGTAATGGAAGCCCAGGTTGCTTTGATAGCGACCTTCAGGTCATCTGCATTGTAGGCTCTGGTGTTTCTCATCATCCTTGTCAATACCCCATAGAGAATCTATGGGGTTCAGGTCAGGCCAATCAAGCAAAGTAACACAATGCTCAGTGAGCCAGCTTTTGGTACCTTTGGCTGTGTGGGCAGATTGTTAGCAAAAGGAAGCATGAAGTGCAGTGAAATGTCCTGGTAGATGGCTTCGTTGACTATGGACTTCAGAAAACACAGCAGACCAACACCAGCAGATGGCATGGCAGCCAAAATTATCACTGACTGTGAAAACTTCACATTGAACATCAAGTAACGTACTTTCATTTGAAAAAGGACTCTTGACCACTGAGCAACAGTCCAGTTCTTTTTCTTCACAGCCCAGGTAAGGCTCTTCTGACATAATCTCATGTCCCGTAGGCTTCGTCTTTGCGTAGTGGCTGCTGATGCGCTGACTCCAGCCTCAGTCCACTTGTTATGAAGCTCCCCCAAGTTGAATGAATTTTGCTTGGCAATCCTCTCAAGGCTGTGGCCATCCCTTTTGCTGCTGCACCTTCTCCTAACACATTATTTTTATTCCACTCGATTTTCTATGAATGTGCTTGGATACAGCGCTCTGTGAACAACCAGCTTTTTTAATAATTGCCTTTTGTGTCTTATCCTCCTTGTAGGGTGTGCCACAAGGAGGATAAGACACATCTGTCGAGTCAGGACTTCTGTTGAATCAGCAGCCATTCCTATGATTGTGTAGCCCCCTGACCCAGACTGAGAGACCATTTAAAGGCTAATTAGCAGATTAAGGTGTGACAGCTTCAGACTATGTGTCATGAGTCTATGTGTTTAACTTTTTGAAATGAGTGACAAAAAATATAGACATTTTTCATGATATTCAAATTATTTAGATGTATCTGTATATTGACACATTATAAAAAAAATCTTCTTCTTTATTTCACGTGTTTGCATTTTACAGAATAGTCGGGGGAGGGACCACAGAACTGAATATCGAAGTACATTCACGACCATACACATAAACATGTGTTTTATAGATTACAGTTTCATCAGTATTTTAGGGAACAGCATAACTGCTAATGATGACCATTTGGGTTTCATAGGTTCATACGCTGCCATCCCAGTTAACAGTATAAAACAAAATATGTTTTCAAATATAATTTGAATTCTGATTATGTTGATTATGTTAGTATAAAAGGAAGCTTAAACCCATGTATTAAAACACACACATACACACACATACACATACACCAACTTGTGTGTTTACAAGTTGTTCTTTGTTTTTACTGTACAAAATACAAACGCATACGTGCTGCTGCCCTCTGGTGGGCAACAAACTGACAATTCATAGACATCCAAAATTATTATTATTATTATTATTATTATTATTATTTAATTACACGTTACAGAAATAAACAGGGCCAGGTTTTTGCTATTAGGCCTACTTTTGTTTGAAAGGAGCCTATTTAATTGCAAACGTACTATTCATTTTAAACCTGCTTTAATACATGAGTACAAATTTTGACAGCCACTCCCACCCATGTTCGTATGTAGTGGCTTTATATTTGTAGAGCGCAGTGATTTTAGTTGTATTACGATCGTGTACGGTACTCCCAGTTGTACTGTCCAATGGGGTTAAAAAGCAAGCGAAACAAGAGAAACTAGAGGAACTAGGAATGCTATTGCCGTGGCAGTTGGGGCGGCCATCTTGCAACTGTAAAACGAGTCAAATTATTCTATTTTCCGAAAATGGACAAATATTTATAAAGACTATGTGTAATTTAAGGGATAATGTATACATTAGTTAAAATTAGTTACAACATGACTGGTTGAACATGATCATTAATACGTGGATTTTTGCTCGTATTTAATCACTAATAAAAAAGGCCATCGTCAGTTGTATTTACAGTCACAACATGGCCGCTGTAACTGGACGTCTGTTACTCTAGGTTACCAATGCAAGTGCTACTCTAGTTTTCATTACCCGCATTGGTCATGTCAGCTGATCCTCCTCCAGCGCTGGGGACCGAGGAAGGAAGGGAAAACCAAAGGAAAATATTGGTGCTCGCTTTGAACCATGGCTGCGGAGATCCATTCAAGGCCCCAGACCGCCAGACCCGTGCTGCTGAACAAGATCGAGGGCCACACAGACGCGGTCAACGCTGCGGTCCTCATACCGAAAGAAGACGGTGTTATTACGGTCAGCGAAGACAGGTGAGCCGCGGTGGAGCTGGCTAATGGTAGTAGCATCACACAAGAAGTAGCCACAGCGGGATCCGTCTATTTACTGATCACCGCATCTATTTGAGATGCAAAGATGGCAAAATAATAGGTGAAAACACGACGTAAACGACGTTATTATCTTGCTTTACGAAATTGATGCGACTGAAATGGAGAGCCCTATCCGTATGGACCAATATAGTTTGAGCCTCTGATAGTTGTGCTAAGTTGTGCACAGTTATGAATGTCCAGATCAAATCCTAACATTATTTAACACATATTCTTGCATTATTACTTTAACAAACCAAACTAAACCATCTCGGGATAAAATTGCAAGAGTTAACATCAGCAGCAGTAGAACACTATTGGTACAACGGTTTGTTTACTGTATAATAATTAGCTATCAGCATCGTTACTGCCGTGAGCTATATGTAAACTTTCAATCTAAACGAACTTCTCCTGACAATTCCGCATCCTAATGTTTTGATTTTATGATCTTTGAATTGGCTAATGAATAATCTGATGCTAGTTGGTTATTGCATTTCTATTGTTAATGTGTTTAAATGGCCTATTCATTTGATACCCTGACTGATAGAGGGCTTTTGTTGTGACCTAAGCATCACGTGCTGTGGCTTTGTCACTGAAACAAGGAGTGATTAAACTAGGGCTGCTCATTATGAAATGATTATTTGACTCATAATTGAAATCAGAATTGTTTCAAATGATTACTTCTGTTCGTAGGTTTCAGCTCACTGTTGTGCATTGTGAGGACTTTCCATCATTCAAAACATATAACAGGCCTATATATAATACTTAAAATTGTTTATTGATATGGCAGTTGTCCTAAGTTTTTATCATTTTGAAAACTATGAATACTGTCAAACTAATATAATGTAGATTGCAGATACACTGTATTATATTGACTACACTGACAGGTTGTTTGCTTTTTTGTAGCTTTTAAATGAATTATTTCTCTAGACCAGGGTTGTAAAAGTATCAATATCAATAGTATTCAAACTAGATACCCATTTGAGTAGGCATCGATAATTAAAAAACTAAAAAGTCACATGTGCAGGACAGAAATGAACCTTTCCTGAATAGCTTTTGAATGATCTTGAGCTGTATCAGAACAAGTATTAAACCACATAGACTAGTATACACCCACGGACCACTATGGAATCTACCTGGTCCACTCAGGGATTACACAGATAGAAGACCACATGGGAATATAAAAGAAAGCACTATGATTTAATGTTGATAATTACATTCTATTGTTTAAAAAGGAGTGTTTTTTTAATAGTTATCGTGGTTTTGGATTTGGTATTGAGTATTCAGTCGATTCTTTAGTATCAAAATCAAGTTTTAAATGTATCATGACAACACTATTATAGACATTTGACTTGTTTCTCTAAGTCTGCATAACATAATAACATCTAGTTTGTAACTAGTGTAATGTAGCAGAAGTGTGCTTCACCCAAGGCGCTGTTTACTATAGTTTCAGTTCTTATGCTCATTTTGGGTGGTTTTCTTATTGTCTGAAATTATGTAATTGATCATTTCCAGATAAGATATAAGGCATAAATCTCTTAGAGAAATGAACAATCCTAGTAATAAATATATATCTCGCCCCATTAGTTTCACATGATTCTGACCTGTTTTGTTTCACTTCTAGAACAATCCGAGTGTGGCTGAAGCGAGACAGTGGACAATACTGGCCCAGCATTTATCACACAGTCTCATGTGAGTAAAACCTTCATGACAAGGTGGAACAGAGCATTTTGAACTTTGGAGATATAAACAGACTAATAATAAGAGATTACACAAACACGTAGGAATGAAACAAAACACAACTCTGGGCATGTTTTTTGAGGAGGTGACAACTTTATAACATGGCTTAAAGCTCACAACAGTCAATTTTGCGTAACATAGGACCTTTAGAAGTATTGAGACGTCATCTATCTGAGGTGAATCAATCAGTCACAGTATATTTATAGAGCACTTAACAATAACACAGAGAAGTCCTAAGTACTTAAGAGGAACATCAATAAACAATAAAAGACTATTTAATATAATGAGGTCAAAGGTCAGTTCATTTGATTTGTGACCATAAAAACACTCCTGCTCAGCCACCGCACCAGACTATAGAGGGAAAGAGGAGCTTTTTCTCCAACAGGCTCCTACAGCTCCGCTCAAACAGTGAGAGATACAGCAGGACTACATTGATACCATACTCCATACAACTGTACAACAACTTACCCTCATGTAATACATAACCCTTTTCAATTTCTTATTTATATTCTATTTTATTTTAACTTATACATTTACATTTGTATAATTATGCCTAATTTGACACCAGTCTCTTGCTATTTTTGCTACTTATTTAGAATTTATTATGACCATTTGTATTTTGTATTTGCAATTATAATATAATGTGATCTGTAAGCTACTAAGTCTAAGTAATTTCCCTTGTCAATCAATAAAGTCTGTCCAAGTCTAAGTGACTGTTGTTCTTTCAGCTCCCTGCTCGTGTATGTCGTATCACCATGACAGCAGACGCATCTTCATCGGCCAAGACAACGGAGCTGTTGTGGTGAGGCTGCTTACTACAAACGAATACATTTTATGGGAAAATCTTAAAATAAAAATCCGATAATATATTTTGGCCTGTACTTTGATAGGCTAATGAGGTAATGTAATGTAAAAAACTAAATCTGAAATACAGTTTAAAATTTTAATCAAAATTTGATGCTTTTATTTTTTAATATAATGCTTTTAGATTAAAGCGTGTATGAGATATTTTTATTATTCTATAATTTTGACTTGGGATAATACCTTTTGTAAATAAAAATAGTTGTTTTACACAGATCAAGAAGGAATTTGTGAAGATAAGTTGAAAAATATGTTGAAATTTACAAGAAGTCTCTTTTAGAGATTTTATATTGATGACATCACACTACGAGAGTTTTATCCAAAAGTTTGACAGAATTTACACACAAAAAACTACATTTTCTGATACTTTACTAATTATATTTTCTTATATTTTAATTTGTTAAATAATAGTTTTTGTGCACATTACATGAATTTTGGTTTACTGTACAGCATGGTTGCTAGGTAACAGTTATGGAATTCCCCAGTGTAATGACATGATTTCTAACTAGGAAGTAAAATTTGTGTACATTTATTTATTTGTTTAGAAAAATGAAAAGTTAACTTGCGATCTGTGATCACTATTGAACACCAGAAATGTTATATGGTGCACCTGTATCAGATGCATTCCTGTCCAGAGGAGTGTTTCTATTTTAAATTTATTCTAAAAATAATTCTTCTTTTCTGTTTTACTTTAGGAGTTTCTCATATCTGAAGATTTTAACAAGATGAACCATGTCAAGACTTACCCAGGTAACATCTATTCTTTCTTCTTTCACATAAAGGACGCATATTACTCTATTTTCTGATCTGTTATTATGTTGTTTCCTCATTAAAAACATACCTGAATTGGTGTTTTGTTTCATAAATTAAATACACAAACCATGCATATTTAGGTTGAGTTCTTCTCTAAGTTCTTTCAAACAGAAAACCTTCCATCTTGTGATGTTATGTGGTAATACAGGAAGTGCTTCACTGTGTTTTTAAACTCCATATATCTTCACTAGATCATTTGGATCATTTCTGACCTGGAATTGCCGGTATCTACTAAACTAATAGTAAAAGGTACAGTCAAGCCCAAAATTATTAATACCCCTGACAAATTTTGATTTAAAGTTACTTTTATTCAACCAGCAAGTTTTTTCTTGATTGGAAATGACACAGGCTTCTCGCAGAAGATAATAAGACAATGTACAAGAGGCATCATTGTGGGGAAAAAAAATAATTTCTCAGCTTTTGTTTACATTTGAACGAAAAGTGGCATGTCCAGAATTATTCATACCCTTTGTAAACTGTCAGAGTCTATGGAAAAATCCAAAGTTCTATACCATTCCAAATAGCACAAGCTGTTCTAAAACTTCCTAATTACTCTGATTCATTGGAAAGAGCTGTTTTAAGCAACTAAACAGGTGACAAACAGCAGGTCTTTGCATCTGGTTTGTGAACAGTCATGGCTAAAACAAAGGAGCTCTCTGAGGATCTATGGCTGCGTATTGTGGCCGCTCACAAGTCAGGAATGGGCTATCACAAATTGGAACAGAGCATTTTGACAATCTAGATCCTCCAGTTCCTCTATATAAAAAGGCCATTGGGTAGTGTGTAGAACAGGGCTGTGTAATTTTGGTCAGATAAATGTAATTGTTATTTTTCTTGTGATTAGTGAAATAATGTTGAAAATTTGTGAATCTGTTTTGACTGCACATTGTAAACGAGCTCAGGTGCATTAACATTTGAGAGGAGACTGAACTGATAAACTATACAAGAATCCCATGCATTTCAGAACATGTTTGTGCAGGTCTAAACTACAGCTACAACAAGATTCTTCTATAAAAAGACAGGACCTTTTGTTGTTTGTATCTAACTTATTGCAGGCAACTCAAAATGTGATTTTGATTTGATTGTAATATATTTGGCAGTCCTAGTGAAGAGAGCCAACAGTATATAGTCAGGATATTGTCACAGTTAGTGAAATGCCTTGTTTTTGTTAGAAAATAAATTACAATAGTCACAAAATGTTGCTACTGAATTTTTGAGCTTTCATAGCACAATGAGCACTATTGTTTTTTTAGTAGTTGCAAGTCCCTTGTGGATTTTCTTGACCTACAATCTAAAGTGTTACCATTTAAAGATCCTGTATTTTGCAAAACTGACTCTTGGGAGCCTTAAGCCATGTTGGACTGTTGTTACCTCCTCGAAAACATACCTGGAGTTGTGATTTGTTTCATTCACAAATGTTTGAGTAATCTTTTATTAGTCTTATCTACATTTCCAAAGCTCAAAATACTCTGTTCCTCCTTGTAATGTCATGTAGTGGAAGTTTTCAAATTACCAGCTACCTTTTATCTTTAGTTTAGTAGAGATTGGCAATTCCAGGGCTGAAATCATGCAAAATATTCTTGTGAAGGTGAATAGAGTTTAAAAACACAGTGGAGCACTTCATGTATTACCACATGACATCACAATGTAAAACAGAGGGTTTTCTGTTTGGGAGAAGAATTCAGCCTGAATTTGCAGAGTTTGTGTGTTAAATGTGTGAATGAAAAACACAACTATGTTTGTGGTGAGGAAACGGCATAGATCAGAAGATCATGTATTATGGACCCTTTAGGAATGTGTTTCATATACAGTGTGTGTATATAGTATCAATATTACAGCAGTGTTTTTGGACTTGTGTGACTATTGCTTTAGGCCAGTGGCTCTCAAAAGTTTTACCCTTTGTAACACGTTACCACATTTGTTTCTTCATGTCCAAGTAAAATGTGGAATTTCTAAATGTCCCTGTCCACAATTAAAATAATAAATGACCAGAGCAAAAGGAGGTAGTTTATATTTAAATTTATATAACTTTTTCTTCTTAGCTCTCAAAAACCCTTGTTTGCATGGCTCTGTACTGGGGAAAGACTAATGTTACCATAATATTAGCAAAAAGTGTTTAAATTACACAATAGTTATGATTAGACAAATAAAAATTAAATTACAGCACCTTTATTTTGTGAAATCAGTGCGTAAACGGTCAGAAAAATGCCTCTCTTTTGCCTCAAATGTCTCTGCATTTTGGATGTAATTGATAACAGTTGGTGACATATGTATTTAGATTGTGTTTTAGAATTACTACAACTACTTTCTATATTTTTGTGCTTTTCTTTTCACTTTTTGCTCAAATTGACACCTACCTGATGTAAAACTGACCACAGGTACTATCCCACAAAATGAAGTCATAACTAGAACAACATGAAAACCTCTCACATGCACTATACAGAACAAACATGTTCAGAGGAAGACGCCTTCACTTCCAGTTTAAACAATAGATCTTTTATTCCTTGTGTAGGATCAGTCTTAACCTACATTCACAGGATAGTGCATCCCTTTATTCATGTGAAACATACAGCAGTGGGACAGTAGCTGTGTGACTCCTGTTATGTTACATTTAAAGGGCTGGTATGCATTTTTTTCTCATAATTAAGTAAAGTTAGTTTTGTCTCTGTATATACATGTTGTAAAAACAACTCTTAAAATCAAAATGAGGCCACTGTGTGCTGTCTGCATCTATTTTTAAAGTTATTTATGGTGCCCAAGCCAGGAAGTGCATTATTAGCATGCTAGTTGCATTATAGTGACCCCAAAACTTCCCTCTAGCCTCTTCTTCAAAATGTTCTGGTGATTTTGATGATCAAAAAATAAACTTGCATAGAATTTGCATTAAAAACTATGTAATTTAATACTAGAAATAATTTGTAGCACACATAAAACCTTTTGCACATAGTTAGTAATTACATGTATAATTTTTCAGACAGCAAAGTTTTTAGTCTATTACTACTGACTTTATATGTTTACACTACCGGTCAAAAGTTTTAGAACACCCTAATTTTTCCAGTTATTTATTGCAATTCAAGGCGTGCAAGTCCAATGAAGAGCTTGAAATGGTACAAAGATAAGATAGATAAAAAGATAAAAGATACAAAACAAAGTCCAAGCTCTGCCAAAACTACCTTAGGAAAAAAGATGGTGAACTTTAAAACATGGAGTGTCCAGCACAGTCTCCAGACTTAAACCCCATCGAACTGTTTTGGGATGAACTGGACAAGAAGAGTGAAGCAACCTACAAGTGCCACACATTTATGGGAACTTGAACAGACTCTGGAAGAACTTTCTTTTCATTTCTATTGTAAAAAAGAATGCCAAAAGAAGAGTGTGTTCAGCTTTTATATCTGTCAAAGGTTTCTACTTTCATGAATCAAACGTTTATAATACATTTTGGTCAACAGTAAATGGGAAAAAGTAAAAAACTGGAAAAAGTGGGGTGTTTTAAAACTTTTGACCGGTAATGTATGTAGAAGCCTGTCACATTGTCAGAATTTCAAATGACTGTATTTGTGAAGACAATATAAATGAGCTTCCTGATAAATCCAAACTAATCTCTCTCTGTATTTTTTTTTTTATATAGAAGGATATCAGTCTTCTCACTGTTCTTCTAGCAAGACTCAAACATGATTGTCCAGTCAGATTTGTTTATTTCAGTGATGCATCATTTGTCATGCATCATTTACAAAGAAAATTACATTTCCCTCACAGCAGATTAACACTTTAGTGCTTCACTCATTGTTTCTGCAGACATTTGCAAAGCTTTTTAGTCCCTCGTGATATTTCATTTCCTTTCTTTTTTCCTTGTTAGTCACTGTATTTGTTTTGATATGGACCAACTATGCACATACCTGATAATCCACCTGTCAATCACGTCCATCTGATCTTGAGAGATTCACCGGTATCCAATCTCACATCTTTGCAAAGTACTGAAGTATTGATCCCAGGCAAATGGACGTTGAACAATAATATTGAAATGAATTTGAGCTATATATAACGAGCCATAGATGTTATTTATTCAATCTTCTATAGCTCAAAGAGAAAGTTCCCATGATAAATATTGGCTCCCAAAAATTATATTTCAAACTACGACCTTTGGCTCCTGATTTTATCCTGATGCCTTCAGGGCATCAGTTTTATGCTCCGATATGAAAGACCAACCGGTTCTCTAATTCTTTTGTGCCCTGTGCTATTAAGTTGTTAAATTCTAAGGGCACAGTTTTATGAAAGTTTTACACTGTAATTTGTACTTTATTTTGAGTTCCACTGGTGGACTGCTGTTTGTTTGTGTTAGGGTGTGTGAGAAGTGAAAACTGCTCTGTGATGCTGCTAATGAATTGGCTTATGGGATCAATAAAGTTTTCTGAATCTGAATCTAATAGAGAAGCTAATATATAGTATTTATCATGACAGGCCTGTATATATATGTATATATATGTATGTGCGCTGTGATTCCCGTTGATAAAACTTTTGTTGTGTTTTGCAGCGCACCAGAGCCGGGTCTCAGACATGGTGTTTTCTCTGGAGAGTGAGTGGGTGGTTAGCACTGGGCACGACAAGAGTGTGAGCTGGATGTGCACCCAGAGCGGCAGCATGCTGGGCAGACACTACTTCACCGCATGGGCCTCCTGTCTACAGTATCCTTTAAATAGGGGGTAATACACATCTGTGGGGTACTAACTGCTAACACATTACATATTTAGATCACCGTGTTAAATTTTATGGTTTTGAAAATACTATATTTGCCGAAAACAACTTATTGCCATATTACTTTGGCATTATATTATAACTGATAATATTACTGTTTTACACATTTAATTTTTGTTTTTGACACGCTAAGTCTTCCCTCCTGTTGCTTTCTGTGCCCCTCCCTTCTACTGCACATTGCATCAGGTTTGTCAAGTTGTTGTGTACAGTTTTGTATCATGCTTTGTGTATTTATGAGGAATTGAGAAGTGGGAGCATGGGTGACGTTGGCTTGTGGGCTGAACATCGAATAGGGCTTGGGAGAGATTCATCTAAATTACTCAAAATGCATAGATAAGATAGAGAAAAATCGATTTTGCATAATATCTGCTCTTCAAATATTATTAGCCAAATGAATGTTATGGTGTCTGAAACCCAGTAATTAGCCAGTCTCTGGATCGTCTCTAAATGAAATGACATGTCGTGAAATCCCCATTTCTGTCACACACAGTAGCATTGTTCCCCCTAACTCCTCTTCCTCAGATATGATCATGACACACAGCATGCTTTTGTGGGAGATTGCTCTGGACAGATCACTCTGCTCAAACTGGAGAAGCAGACCTACTCCACTGTCACCACGCTAAAGGGACATGAAGGTAAGAAGTGAGGTTGTAAAAAAGAATTGAAAATCAGATACTAGTCGATACTAAAACTAGAATCGAAATTAGATACTCATTTCACAGGACAGAAATGAACCTTTCCTGAATAGCTTTTGAATTAACTTGAGCTGTATCAGACCACATAGTCTTGTATATGCACATGGACCACTGTAGTACCCTACCTGGATGACTGAGGTATTACAGATATAAGACTACACAGTAATATAAAAGAAAGTACTATGATTTAATGTTGAAAATCACATTCTATTGTCTAAAGAAAGAGTGTTTTAATTTTCATTGTGGCATTGGAATCAGTATTGAGTTTTGAGTTCATTCCTTAGAAGTGAAATTTTAGTATTGTGACAACACTAGTAAGTACTGTAGGAAGTACTGTAATGCATGAGAGTGTTTGTTTCTAAAGTAGTAAGTAAAGAAGAACTGAAAGTGTCTCCTAAGCCATTATAACCCCATATTAAAAGTAGTTTATACCTCTGACACAATGACCTTAAAGCAGGATAATACCAATAAACAAAAAAAGTTTATATATACATATATAAGTTTATATATACATTAAACAACCTGAGCTGCAATGAATAAAGAGAAGAATGAAGCAATAATTAGCCATCAAAGTTACTTTTTTCAATTCTTTGCTGCTCAAATAGTTTCGTATAACTACAAAAATAATAAAAATCTCCCTACTATTGCCAATAAACTGTACACACCCTAAATCTGATCCCCAAAATACAGTATACTGATCCATCTTTTATTTATTGAACGATAAGCCGATATGGTAATTATTGTGACAGGCCTAGCTTTACATCTCTGCAGTATTCTTCAGTTCTCTGTGTTATTTATACTCTATTGTTTATGGTGTGTTTTGGCAAAAAATAACAATGCATTTGACATATTTGTTAATCCACTTGTCAATCACAACCAACAGAATTTGTGTGGAAAGGATAAAGCTTTATTTGGTTTACTGGCTTCAGGAAAAATGAGCACTGTCTGAGGCATTCTCACTTCTCTCCTCATGTCACATGAATGCAGTGTGAGACAGTGTGGGACATTTTTCACACACATAAAAAACTAAACAAAACAAGTTTTATCTCTGTATTTCAGATGTGCGTTGCCATAGCAGCTATCAGCACCAGCGGCTAAACATCTCTGTGTGCAGTTTAAAGGAGAAGTCATATGTTATGTTTGTGTTTTTACAGTGCAGAAAATTTCTAACAGATCATCAAATTAATTCAATCCATTGTAAGTGCCATTGTGAAATATTCTGTGGATTGAGTAAGCACGCTGTATACTTTTTATTTTTTTATTTTTATTTTTTTATGAAGGAGTTATTGAGTTGGTTGTAAACTGTAATCCTGGGTCTTTAAAATGATTCCTTGAAAAAATTTGGGGCAATTGCTAAAGGTACTTTTAAGTCCTTGAACTGAGCTTGATAAATAAATCCCTGACGTCGGACTGCAATTATTCTGGTCGACACTAGGTGGTAGCAGTGTGGCACGGTGTCACAACCTCATGTATTGCTTGATTTGGAGCTGACAAAGTAAATATTAAGTTAAATTATAAGTCAAACATTAACACACTTATTCTCACATTTATTTTCACATTTATTCTCTCTATAAATACTATTTTACACAAGAATGTTTCTGCTATCACATCACATTAGGGATATTAATAAGGTGACTGGGACAGTCCCAGTTTTGAGCTCTGTGTTCTCTGTTCCAGCAGAATTGAATAATTCTAAAACCATTGATTTGTCTCAGTTTTATGCGAGGAATGTGCCAAATGTACCTATTTTTGACCAATTTGATCCCTGGAAACAGTCGAGAAAGGAACATATTGTCCTTGGTTTAACTAAAATACAGAAAATGGTTCTTGAAAATGACCATAAGGCAGAAAAAATGCACTGACAGAAATCCCAAATAATTTGAGAATGGACAATGTTATGTGCTCTTTTCACAATTTTATTTATACCAACCGTTTTATCTCAGTTTTGAGTTTTGAAAATCTGGTCACCCTAGATATTAAGATTATTGTACTAAGTGATAAATGTGATTATTTAGGTCACAATTTCATTGTAAAGAACTAAAATATAATAACCCTGACAATTTTAGAAGCAAAATTTTTGACTTTACTCTGCTCTGCCCACTTTTGCCTCTAAATGCTACTAAAAACGCGTTTGTTGTGGTGGTACTTTTGGTTAAGCGTCTCAAAATTTGAGAAAAGTTTCAATGCAAAAATCCGACATAAAGTAGGTTGATTTGTGTAAAATCTGTCATTTTTGTCATATTTTGTGTTGAAAATTACAGTACAATATTGTCTAAAAAAAGGACCTTTTAAAGTGATCTATTTTATCCATTTGGGTACCTAGTATTAAGTCTGTGCCTTTGTATCGGAATTTTAGTATTGTGACAACACTATTATAATCTATTCTATATTTGTTTGTAATGCCTCTCTTTGTCCATGTGCAGGCAGTATAGCAGCTCTGTGGTGGGACCCTGTTCAGAGGCTGTTGTTTTCGGGAGCGTCAGATCACAGTGTCATCATGTGGGACATCGGGGGACGGAAAGGACGAACACTACTGTTGCAAGGACACCAGTAAGGGCCAATCAAAAAGCAAGAATGTTGAGTTCATGTGTACGGTGACCCCCTCGAATTGTACAAAAGAGGGACAATTTGTTAAATATGCACTGTGTAAATTTTCTGGTGAAGGGTTGCCACCTGCTTGTTTCCAGGGAGATGTTATTGTTTTGTCTGGATTGTCCCAGTATGGCATTAAACATACTCATTTTGCATTTACTCAATAATATGGGTTTTTATTGCCCAAAAAACATGCATTCTTATTGTGAGTGGGCTCGCCTCTCCACAGATCTGACAAGTAATTTTGCCCTGTGTTATCACCTGCTTTCTTTGTAGGGATAAATAAGTGTAATGCCATACTGTGGAACATTTCAAGCAATATCTCCATGGAGAGAAGCAGGTGAGGGACTCCCCACCAGAAAATGTACACAGTGCACCTTTAAATGTGGTAGGACATGGAGAGACTAAAATAACTGCAATAACCCCATATGTTTTTCAGTTTTTATCAATCTTAACACAGAGAGAGATTTGAATAGCAAAGGTGTCAATATATTGAAACCCTGAAAACCTTATTTGCAAAAGAAAAAAAATGTTTTCAGTGCAAATTTCACATTTTGAAAAAGTGAGACATTCTTTAAATAAGTGGAATAAGGGACAGGGGCCTAAAAAGACAACCAAATGAGGGACAGGTGCTCCATGCTCAGCCTACACATGTGAATGACATCATAGTCCTCATTATTCAAGTCCAAGTTGTTATATAATTCATAACATTTTCTGCTTGTTTATTTCAATAAAAGTGCATTACCCAATAATAAAAATTATAGGGCCCCCATCTCCATCTGAAATTATGATATGTTGAATTCTATACATATAAGCCGTAACATTTCAATCATTGCTTGGAAGTTAATAACACTTGTTTGTTCAATGTTTCTTACTAAATTTGTTTTGTTACTCTTCTCAAATGCTCATATTCAAAGTTATAACTAGGGGGTTGTTCAAGAAAAATTTCAGCAGTCCATCCAAAAGGTGCTAAAGTGTGTCTGTAAATATCACGGTTGAGGTTCAAGTATTACCCCAATGTAATGAATACAAAAAGTAACCCAAAAACTACAGAAATATCACATTGCACCCTTATTTGAAAAACTACACTGCAAGTCAGTTATATTTTTACTTTTATCAGCTCTTTATCAGAACTGTGCAAACAACAATTTCAATATTACCTTTTTTTTTTATATATGTCTCCCACCACTAGTTGCAGTCCAGCTTCTCATCCCCTCTCTGTTGTCAAACTCAGGTCTCTACAATGTCAGGAGCAGATGACTCAAATCACTGCTCCTCTTTTATCTCCTCTTCCCTGTATTTCAACACAGATTCAGATTTGTTGACCTGGTTTATGGTTCATATCTCTGTAATTACTGGGCCTATCCACAGAAAACAAAAACTGGAACAAAGTTCAATGCCTTCTTTATCAGCAAAAGTGAACAAGAGAAGATTTTTTTTTTTCACAACAGCTTTAAAGATTAATATGGCAAGTTTGGTAGCATTAGAGGGTCGCGAGTTTGAATAATGAATTAAAGTGTGTTATATAGGCCCCTGCCCTCCACCTGAAATTATGACATCATCAAGTTTTAATTAAGGGTTTGGTTATTTAATTAAGTGGTCACTAAATCTGAATCATTCTTATTAAATAATTTGTTTATAATGAAATAAGACTTTATTAATGGTTTTTTAAAGGTGCACTATGTGTAACTTTTTGGTTGGGGTCCGTCCATCAGGCTGCTTGTTTCTACGGATATGCCTTGGCTCTGCCTGAAATTTTCCATGGTGTGACTTTAAACAGCTCTCCCTTACATTTATTTTAGGGCTGGGCAAAAAAAAAAAAAAGAATCGCATTAATCGCATGAGTTCCTGTGATTAATCATGATTAATCATATGCACACTTTTATTGGAAATGTAAACAAAAGTTCCATACAGTTGTTGTGCAAACAGCATTTCTCTATACAGCAGCAGGGCACTACTCTGTAAATTCCATGTTTATACTTCTTCCTGTGGAGAATTTTACTCAAAAAAAGAACCAGTTGCAGTGCAGTTTGTCAATTCCTAGAATTTGACTTAATGAAGTGAATTCAAAAGTAAAGTGCATGTGATCAGCATCAGAAAAATAAACTATTCAGTGTAAATCTCAACTGAAAAAATCTAATCAAACCAAATACAGAACTGAAATGTATTGCCACTGCCAGGGCTTTAATGTTATCCTGTTTGATATAAAAATGAGAATCTCACTCAAAAACAGTAACCAGAAAACACTTTCAGTGCAGTTTGCCAATTCCTAGAACTTTTAAAAAAACTTTTCTACACATTATTATAGACAATTCAGATTAAGACAAGATAATCTGATAAGACAATTCAGCGTTGCAGTGTTACAAAGGACTTTGGCTGTGTTGACTGCACTGTCTGAAAGAACTTAATAATAAAAACTGCATTAAGGGGAGAAGAATAATTAATCTTTAAGGCTAATGAAAAGTGTAGTTATTATAACGTTACATAGTGAACATTTATGGACAAACCTTTCTGCTCATTTAAAATAATAACTAACTCATATAATAAGATATAAGGCTAACCCTTTAATCGGCTCCTTGTTGCTCCAGTGAGAAGGTCCAGGCCCTGAGGTACCTACAGCTCACGAGACAGCTGGTGTCCTGCTCAGCGGATGGAGGCATTGCAGTGTGGAACATGGATGTGCAGAGACAAGAGGTAACACACCAGTATACACACAATCCAGGACTTGTTAACTATTAAAGAACACATATTACACAAAATTGACTTGTTAGAGCTTTTAACCACGTTAGAATATTGTTTCCTCATTTTAAAATACCCAAATCTGCATTTGGCTTGGTTCACACTAATAAAAAGAGCCTTACCAAACACTCTATCTAACATTTCCCAGGATTGTGATGTCAAAGATAGAAGTCCTGTCCAGTTTCTAAGTACTTAAATCATTGCCAGACTCACTTTAAGCATTTCTACCATTAAACCTTGTTCATTACTGCTGCGTGCTACCTCTGCTGCCAGTAGATGGCGAACTGCAGCAGATTAGAGTATGGGGGAGAATTGAGGCTGTGAAAAGACTGATTGGTGATATCGCAGGTTTTCGCAGATAACTCCATCAAATTTAGACAATATTTGGTACAGATACTTGTTTTAAGCCCCAGTTTGTGTACTTATGTATCATTCACAGTTTGCATCCAGAAAAAGACAAAAAATAACTTTTTTTCCCCCAGTTGTGTTTATACAACTGAATAAAAAATGGAAGAAATATATAACATGTGTCCTTACTGTAATTGGGTTAGCATGTCCTTAAACCTGACTCCTGTTTGTTTCCATAAAAATGTTGTTCCTTTGACAATAATCTCCCACAGTATGGCATAAAAGTTATCTATCTCCATGGAGAATGTTTAAAAGTATAATTTAAACTTTCTATTTCCTTGGTGTCATGCCACCTCCAGAAAGTTACATACTGTACCTTTAACTTAATTTCTTTGTTTCTCAGTGATTAGTAGCTTTATTGTATTAAAATATGCAGCATAGAAAACTACACAGGGAATAGTGTAGTCACTTCTGTCTCTGTGTGCGCCAAACCTGTGCCTGATTTCCTCTGAGTTTGCTCTGCACCTGTTCATGTGACGCAAACTTCCATTTCAACAACTTGTTAAAAGGCCTGAAATCTGAGAAACATTTGTCAAACCCTCTGTACTTGTGTTATTGCAGGCTCCTCAGTGGTTGGAGAGCGACTCATGTCAGAAATGTGAGCAGCCGTTTTTCTGGAACATTAAACAGATGTGGGACACCAAGACACTGGGGCTCAGACAGGTACAAGGAAACCACCGCTAATGTATTATGAACATTACATTAAAACTTATTGTACAAATGTGCAACAAAAATATTGTACTAGTTATTACAGTAGTTATTAATGACTTATGGATTATATTTTGCGTATGTTGAGAGTGTTTAATACATTTGTATGTAATGCAATTGATTCACAAGGGTCACAGTCACATTAAAATAGATAAAACTGACATAAAGATGTGCTATGTATAATTTCTGATGGATGATGCGCTCCCTATTTTGCCTGGAATGTTTCATAGTATGGCAGTAATTTGATCTTTTTTCATGAGGTGGTCACCAGGCCAAGTTACAGGTCAGATCTGTAGAGAGGCACCGTCGCTTACAGTAAGAATGTATGCTTAATTGTTGAGCAATAAATACCCAATGAATAACACCTATAATAAATAAATACAAGATAGACATTTGATACTTTGATTTTCATCAACATTCCATGGGAGTGTGAAGTTAACTGTAGGCACTGCTCTGTCTGAAGCTCTGTTACTCAAGTTGGTCTTTAATCTGAGCTTTGTTTTAACACAATCTAAACACAAAGAACTGATTTTGCTGGGACTACACCAGGTGATTTGATGTGCGCTGTTAAAAAAGGCCCTCACACATACAATTACAGTCACAAGATAGCTAGCTAGCATTAGCCAGTCATCTTTCACTTAGTCGCTCATCTTTTTTGTTGAAAATCAAACACCTAAACAGGACACATGCTCGTATTAATCACAGGCTCCTGAAAATGTGTTGTGTAAATCATTTTGTGTTTTTTCTTGAGTTTTCAGACTATCCTAAAACTTTTTTGGCAGTGACAGGTAGAATATCCCCAGTGTGATGTCACGGCAAATTATCATTTGTCACGCAATAACATCTCCATGGAGACAAGTGGCAGACCCTCTAACTGAAAAATGATATAGCACATCTTTTAATCATGATATTCTGTAATTGCGTGACTTTAAAGCCGCTAATGATGTTTTTGTTTTTTACTTCCTGCTTTAGCACCATTGCAGGAAGTGTGGTAAAGCGGTTTGTGGGAAATGTAGTTCCAAGCGGTCGACATTTCCGATCATGGGCTTTGAGTTTCCTGTGAGAGTCTGCGATGCCTGCTTCGACTCCATTAAAGAAGAAGAGTGAGTGCATAGATTGGACTTTTATTTTCATGTTTACATTCTCATTCCTATATGGTTTAAAAAAATTAATCCACCCAATATGGAGAATATATTATAACTGTAAATATTATATGACACTACAGGCAATTTTAGGTTTTGGGTCAGTTTGCTCTCTTAACATATGTTTTTCACTTGAAAATTAAAGACTTAAAATGTAAATCTTTAAGTTACATTTTAAATCTTTTAAATCTTTAAAATGTAATGCACCATTTTTTAAAATGAACCATTTTTTTCACTTATATGCGATACAATATGTTGAAGGTTTTTACAGACAGAAATAAGTATTTAGAGTAGAACTTTGTAAATTTCAGTGACAGAGCCCTGCAGCCCCCTTGTAAGAATGCACTTTTTATTAAAGCAAGGCAGTATAAAACATATAAAGTTGCCAAATATTTTAAAAAGATTTAGGGTTTCCCAGTAAAACTCCCTTCTCGACATGTCTACCACATTGCAAGGTTGGTTTTCCACACAGACACAGCAGCACAGATGCTTCAAATACCACAAAAAAACATATTTAACTATCACAGGGACTTATGAAGATGTTTAATGGGATAGAAATGGTACTAGCCTCTTCTCCTCTCTATACTCTGTCCCCCTCTCCTTCTTTCCCCTCTCCCTCCCCTCTCTGTTTCAGTCGTTCTCCTCTGGCTACGTTTCACGAGGGCAAACACAACATCGCTCACATGGACCTGGACCCCACCCGAGGGCTCATGGTCACCTGTGGGAGTGACCGCATCGTCAAGGTAACCACTGTGCTTTGCAGTTAGGTTTAGATATTATGAAGACAACTTATATCTGCTTCTTTGTTTTTCTGAAGACTGAAGTGCAGATTTTAAGCATGGAGAAGGGTTTGAAATTGCTGTAAAGGGAGCTATTTTTGTGAAGAAAGAGAATCCCTCTTTGATCATAAATAGTGGATTTAGATATAATTTACCTGCTGTTATCAGCATCCCCACACAGTGAACTAGTGAGACATCAGGCCAATCAGATGCTAATCAGGTACTTAACTGAAGAAGAGTCAGCCATGTCACAATGCCTATAATGAGGTTAGCATAGTGAACAAGGGCAGGGTAATTTCATTCTACCCTAACTCATCTCTTTGGGGCAGGACTTATTTAACTCAAAGAGGGACTAAACTTAAACACTAGCAGACAGGTCTTTCTGATTAAGTGCTTGGTGATGTCACCAAGCACTTGAATTGCAGTGGCCACTGGAGGCCACAAAGCTACAAAAAGCTATAAATAGTTTGCACTAAAGTAGCCAAAAATGTTCATGAACAGTAGATAAAAACAGTATCCAGATGAAACCTTTTTCTACATATTATAAAAAGAGTACCATCTTTCTGATACAAAAATATTTGATACATGGGAACATGCATAATTTTTACTTTACCTTAATGTAAATGCATAAATTAATACAAACCAAATATAGATGTTGTGTATAATGTGAATACAAACATTACCTACCTTTGTCTCTACAGATCTGGGACATGACGCAGGTCGTTGGCTGCAGCTTAGCAACTGGCTTTTCTCCACGTTGATTGGTCAAGCCTTGACACAGGTCCTGCCCTCTCTCTCCAATCTCATGGACACCCCCCCCCAACCCCCTTCCCTTTGTACAGCCCCCCTCCCCATCACACGCCTGGTCTCAATCTGACCAATAGGCAGCAAGCATTCACGTTCCAGTGTCAAAACATCACAGAGGGCAGAGGCTAGTATTACTCTACGGGTGACACATATTTAAAAAAAAAAAAAAAAAAAATCTCCAAATAGAAAATTCAGAAATGCTAAAAGTTTCTAAAAATATTGTGTACTTAAGATAATATTAAAGGTGCATTATGTAGTAGGGGGATTCTCCGTAAATTTACAAAACCATGATACAGTACTGTATACAGCAACTTGACAAACCTGATGCAACGTGCAGTAGTTTCATTAGTAGGATGGACGCTGATTGTGTTGTGATAGTGCTCTAAAGGGGGAGTGACTTAACATGGGGAGCAAAGAGAGGGGAGACTCAGTGAAATACAAAAGTCAACCTTATTAAACATGTTAATATGTTGTTTGGGGGAAATATAGCATAAGGTAACAAAAAGGTGTCATGGTGATGAAGTATGTTATGTGTTAGCAGTTTCTTTAAGAAAAATGCAGTCTCAAAAATGTAATGAAAAATTGTCCAATATAATATTAATGCATTTTCACTTTGGATACTCCTTCAAAAATGGTGTCTAACCAGCCGTCGTGAACTAGCTCCTGCCCTCCACCTGATTCTTTGACATTTCAGATTGTAATACGTGAACACAACCTTTGCCTCTGTATTCAGTCTTATACAATGACTTTGGCTCTGAACTGACTCTAAGCACAATGATGCGTGTGTGTGCATGTATGTATCATGTATGTACTCGTCTCTCCTATTTGGGAGCGACACTGTTGATATTAGTGTTTACATAATGTCTATATTTCTTATTAAGCTTCTTTTGGACTGTTTTAAATATCCTTGCACTGTAATCTCAATTGTTACCTGAACGCTTCCCTAATACAGGCACATTTCAATACATTTACACTACCATCAAAGGTTTGGACACACCATCTCATTCAGTGATTTTTACTTTTTTTTTTTACTACTTTCTACAATGTAGATAGATACTTTGCAATGATAATATGCTGGGGGGTTCTACATGTATCTCTGTAGATGGAATGTTTAGGAGTTACGCTTTCAAAGAGTTTAAGACTGTCTGAAAACTCAAGAAAAACAAAATTAAACAACACATTTTCAGGAACATTCATGCTCCTGTTTAGTAGAACAAAAATGATGAGTGTGATTAACGGAAAAGCTGTTGACTAAAATTAGCTAAACTTGTGACTGTGATGTTATATGAGGGGAGCCTATCTTTCTTCAACCCTATGTTCTCTCAGGCTTATGTTCCCTCATTTCTATTTTTTATTTCCATCCATCCATTTTCGTCCACTTATCCGGGGCCAGGTCGCGGGGGCAGCAGCCTAAGCAGGGACTCCCAGACTTCCTTCACCCCAGACACGTCCTCCAGCTTCTCCGGGGGAACCCTGAGGCTTTCCCAGGCTAACTGAGAGACATAGTCCCTCCAGCGTGTCCTGGGTCTTCCCCGGGGCCTCCTCCCGGTGGGACATGCCCGGAACACCTTTTTTTTTCTTTCCAAAAGTAGGCCCTATGTTCCCACATTTCCTTTATCATCAATTTGCATCAGAATTTATCCCCATTTCTCCGAATTTGGTCGTCAATTACACCGGATCCATTCTCCAGCAGCAGTTGACTACAGATGTAATGTAGAGGTCATGGTGCAAAGGATCCTAGGTTGAAATGACTCTGAATCATCCCTTTAAATGCAGTATAAAATGACTTGATTTAGTGTTTAATTTGAGAAAAAACCTTAGAAATAATGGAACACTGGGCTGAGGGAACATAAGGCTGACCCCTATTTGGGAGGGTTTTGCTTAAAAGTACAAATCAGCTCACCTGCTGTAGTTTCAACCAAGTCAGTTCTTTCTGGACAGTTTGTGTTAAATTAAAGATCAGATTAAAGTCTGATAAAGGCTCAGACACAGCAGAGCCTACAGTTAGCGTCACAACCCCAGGGAATGTTGATGATATCAGCTGCAAAGTATCAATACATACAGAAGACGAGCATGGTATATACAAGTAAGTTATATGGAAGTGTGTAATAAAAACAAAACATGAAATAACTTTTACAGAATTCCATATATCGCGCTTCATATATTTAAGTAGTAAAAATCAAGAAAAACACATTGAATGAGGGTGAGTCCAAACTTTTGACTGGTAGTATGATTTTTTTGTTGTATTTTGGTTGTTCAACTTTAAAGGTACACTATGTAACTTTTCTGGTAGGGATTCCGCCACAAGCTTGTCTTCTTAAAGATGTTATTGCAATGTTCCACGGTATGGCATCAAACTTACAGCTGCAACTTAAAGTATCTTTTACCTTCAGTAACTTTGGTAACGTTCAGTAATGATTGGCAACTTCAGATCTGAAATCATCATCCAAACGATTTTAGTGGAGGTGTATGGAAACACAGTGGAGCACTTCGTTATTACCCATGACATCACAAGTTGGAATAGAGTCTTTTCTGTTTGAGAGAGAGACTCCAGGTGTGATTTTGGTGAGGAAACAACATCACACAGATCTGAAAATAGTGTAATATGGGCCCTTTAAATTGAACAACTGACAAAAATGCTTGAATACTTTGATGTGTGCTTGTATGTAAAACACTATAGCATTACTAAAGCCCAGTCAATTCATTTTTACTACCCTTATATCATTGTTAGCAGTAGTTATCTTAAATACCCTTCACTATTTTAAATATATTTTTCACTAGTAGGCCTTAAACCACTCAGGAGTTTTGCATTCAACTCTGCTTTAAAATATTAACCCCTTGTTTGCTAAATAAGGATCATAGTAGTAGTTGTAGTAATAGTAAAGTAATAGAAGGTTCAGTACAAATGCTAGACAATCAGATTGAGAAGAATACATTTAAGTCTATATATGTTATAAAATGGAGACTAACTTGGTCTAACCCAGGACTACTATAGCACTAACCAAGGACTAATCCAGAACTAAACCAGGTCCAATGTCGGACTAAACAACTAATGATGCCTTAAAGAAGACATATTATGCTTTTCTCTGCTATATAGTTATAATCTATGGCACCCATGAATCATTATGTTATATTTTAGATCAAAATTCTGATTTAAATGACTTAATAAAAGAAATAAGTCCAATGACATCTTGAGTACATGAGATAAATATTACTCAAACATTCATGAATCACTTAAAAATCGAATCAAATCAAATATAACTTTGAGGGTCAATGAAAAGGGGAACAACTTTAACATGGTTAAAAGTTGATTTTGCACAATATGTCTCCTTTAAATGTAATAACAACTAAGTATGTTTTTTTCTCTTTTCCATAATTTACCCAGTTTTCCTCATTTTGTCTAGATTTGGCGACGTTTTGTGATTATTTTAGTTGTTATGAAGTGAGTTATGTCCTTCTGATACGGTACTTGTTTTGTCTGGTAAAATTGGCTTGTAAAATGTTTTCAGATTTTTGACTGTTGAAATGTTCAGAAGGCCTTGGCATTTGATAACTTGTTAAATTATTTTTATTTATGTACAGTACTGTGCAAAAATCATATCTTTCTTTCTGTCTTCCCAGTTCTTTCTCTTCCATACAATTCTAAATGTATCCATGGCTTTGTGAACGATAAAAAAAAAAAATATATATATGAACAGTAGCCATAGCGATTAACAATTTAAAACAAAAAAAAAATCTCAAAATGTCACCCGGGTCATGCCATCCACTAATAGTATAGCTGCTCAATATTTGAATGCTGGTTTTAAGATATGCTAAATTACACAATGAAAAGTACTGTGTAAGAAAAGACTGCAAACATAAAGAAACAATGGTATATGTGTATACTTTACAAGACTATTTCTACATTCTCCTTTGTAATTTTACAGTCCATTGGTGCAGTAGCCTACTTTAAAATGGAACGAAACACTAAATACACTTTTTTTTTTTCAATTTCAAGTACTATGTGACATCATGCAGAACTGCCCTGATTATAGTTAGCTGTTTCTGATTACAAACGCCTACCTGTTTGACCAGTCACACTGTTTTTATAACCTCAGACCCAACCCCTTCTCTTTTAGCCCCCCAGATACTGCCCAGTTTAGCAGCTCTATTTGAAATGGACTTGTAGTTGGAGTTTAGGTGTCCCACTTAAACTTTACTTTACAATTAAATCTTAAAGGGACAGTCATTCACATCAACAGTCTGGCGTAATAACAGATTTGCTTCGGGTGCTTTGTGGAGTCGGTAAGTGGCATCTAACTATAGCTACTGACATGCACTAGCCTAGCACCAGTCATCTCTGCAAACACAAGGACTGGATGGAATATTTTTAAAAAGTGTCTCACCATATCTCCAACACTCTGGCTAACTAGGAAATGAGGCCCAATATCCAAAATACCAAACTGTCCCTTTAAATCTAGTTTAGAAATTGTTCTTTTTTGCACAGTACTGCATATTTGCTACTATATTTTCATCCACTGCATATTGAAGTTTGAAATCTGTACCATTGCACTGACTTGCACATGTATGTTCAGTCTTTTTTGCTTTGGCTTAAGTAATGTGTCTAAGTTCCTTTGCTCAAACTTGAATTAATGGTCATATTCAATGTAGCTTCTTTGTAATGATCATTAACTAATGCTCTGCCTTTTTTGCAGTTTAATTCCAGTTTGTGACCATGTAGTGTAAATTTATATGTAGTAAATGCTTTTTGTTGTAATTAAGGCTCCAAAAATGAAATCTTAATCTCACTACATTTGAATAAAGCTGTTTTTGTTAAGGAAATTCTGTTTTTCACATGGCCATAATGCTGCTTACTGTTTGAGAATTTATTTAGCTTTAAATCTATTCTCAATTCTAATCGCAGTATTTGTCAGAAAAATTGCAGTTACATATTTTTCCCAAATTGTTCAGCCTAACTGTGAAGTTTTGCAGTAGCACCCCCAAAAGTTGAAATAACAATAATACATTTATTTGCCTGGCAAATCCAGAATAATTATCGCACATATGTATTTTTTTTTATACAGATGCATATCAGTGTGGTCACTACTCCCTTTGTTGTGTCTCAAGCCAGAACCAAACATGATCGTCTAATCAGATTTGTTTGTCAGATTTTAGTGACGCATGTGAAACAACGGAGCTCTTTTTGGACAAAATCAAGTTTAGTGCTTCTCTCATTCATTCTGCATTCTGTGTTTTTCAGTTCCCTGTGCTCTTTTTTTCAACCTAAGCAGCCATATTTGTTTTGATACAGACAGACCATGCGTGTGCCTGACTAATTCACCTGTCAGTCACGCCCGTCAGAACTCTGGGAGAATCAGCAGTGACCAGACTCGGTATTGGAGAAGTGTGTGTTCTAGATCCCAGGCAAACAGTTTAGTTCATGTCTATGGCCTAATTGGGTTACAGGGTTATTGTCTCCTCTGTCTACAGAACATTACATCTCACTAAGCTACTGTGACAGATGTACAAAGTGATAAAGACTAAAGATGGCCCCAAAGAGATACAGGACACTGCAGATGTTATTTTACATCATTATTCATTTACTGATCATTTTGGAAACAATTTATATTAACAGCACTATTTACACCATGCAAAGACTTAAAGATGCACTATGTAACTTTTCTGGAGGAGGGTCTTACTCCAGCTTGTCTCCATAGAGATGCATTGCTTTGTCTGAAATGTTAGTAGTATGACATTAAACCTACTTATCTCCATAGAAGCAAGGAGGTGACACCATTCAGGCAAAATTACAGGTCAGATCTGTGGAGAGAGGAGGTCACTTATTGCAAGAATGTGTATTTTTCGAAGTGTAACTAGGTATTGATGTTTAATGCCAAAAAATGTTTAATCATCATGGAGACAAACATGTGACACCACTGCGCTAAATTACAGGTCAGAGCTGTGGAGAGACGTCACTGCTCTCAGTGAGAACGTATGTTTTTCATGGTATTCTGGAAGTGTAAAACACAAGAAAAATGTTTAATACATGTAAGATCAAGTTTAGTGCCGTGCTGTGGAACTTTCCAGCCAAAGCAAGAGCATTTTCATGGAGACAAGGAGGTGACAAACTCCCACCAGAAAAGGTATATAGTGCCTTTAAGAATGATCACAGATCCTGATACTATCATACTATATTTAACTTGGAAAACAAAACAATGTGGAAAACGTTTTATATAACTCTCAAAAACAGGTCTAATGGATCATATTTTGGTGCATAAAATTACCAAATGTTTTATTTCTTCTTTATTTCTTAATGTAAGTTTTCCCATTATAAATATTTGTATCTTTCTTTCTTCTACTTTGTGTAAACCATTAAACAACAAAACAGTGTATGTTTTGGCCTAAGTTTTTCATGAATGTAAGCTAAATATGTGCCCAACTTTCACACTTCCTATTGTACAAAAATAAATGATTTTAAACTATGTTATTTACTGATTACTGCAAACAGAGTACACCCACAAAAACTTTACTAAACCAGGTCTAAACCAGGACTAAACCAGGTCTAAAGCCTCTCTGATAGCTATTGATCACTCCCAATACCACTTTGAGAGCTTAAATGAGAAGGGGAACAATTATAACAAGCTTAAAAGCTGTAAAAGGTCAATTTTGATTTAAATGTGAATACTTTGTGTCATTGTATAAAAGAAACACTGAACAATTTATTCTTAATATGTTTTTATTAAGGCTTATATTCAGGCAAACTCTGGTCAGTACAAAGTTGAAAAACGCCTGCACATTGAATTGTAATATATTGTTTTATTTCATATGTTGAGGGACCCTGAACACAATCACCTTTCTGAGATAAAGTTATCTAATGCAACTTAAAAAAAACCACATTATTTGAACATTACACAGCAAAAGCTTTAGTATTCAGAGCAATACAAGACTTAAAATTTGAGGCGTTTGAGTGACTTTGGTCAAAACAGATTTCCCATCAGTTTGACAGCAAAATAAAGTCACAACAAAAGGCCCAATACAAAAGCAGAGTTAATTTAAAAGGAGAAGCAGATACTCTTGTATATTCAAAATTGAAACAAAAATAAATATAAAGTAAAAGTACAAGTATTATTACGGAATCAAATAATAAACTATTGATATTTTAAATTAATTAAATGGTAAAAAGTATTAAATATAAAATCAAAAAGTACTGTCCCAAATAGTATTCCTAATATATACACTTAAATAACATATATTTTAAGTGTTAGCAGCTAAAATAAATGTAAAAATAGCATAGCAAAATTGTAGGTTCCTTAACACTGAAAAAAACAAAACAAAAAAACAGTAACAGGACAATTTGAACAATCTGCTGTGATTTAAAAAATGAAAATAATGCCACATTGATGACAAAAGACAGTTGTTGCAAAATGTTTTGTTAGATACATTTGTGTAATTTGAATATTATTCATCGTGGGTAAAAGAGGGACAAGCAGAACCAGAGGTGAGACAAGGACTAAACTCATTTAACAACAGTCCTACCAGCTTTAGTTATGCCTTTAATGTAATTTAATAATGGTACTTCCCAACCACCTGCACTATGTTGAAGGCCATCATCACATGTGCGGCTGTGTTAGTTTAAAGAGAGGGTATTACACTTCTGTGGGGTTTTACATTACAGATTTAGAGCACCATGTTAGCTATTATTGTTTTGAAAAAAATATATTCACTGAAAAAATTTAAATTAACACGTTTAGTAAGTTTCAGTTTTGTTTTTGATGCTCTGAGGGCTTGCGGGCTGAGCTTTGGACAAGCTTGTACTGCTAAAAAATAAGGAGGGTTTGAATAGGGATGGGGAGAGATTGCTAAATTACTCAAACACGCATGCATGGATGACATATAAAACCACTTCAGGCATGTTTTTGATGAGGGAACGATGTTATAACTTAGTTATAGCTTAGAAAGCATTACATTTTGCATAATACCCCCTCTTTAAGTCTCTTGGTCTCAGTGCGGCTGGAAGGTTTTGGCCATGTCATCGAGCAGAGCCACCAGCTTCTGCTCCTCCAGAGGAGAGCTGTGGGTCCAGGCCAGGGGCAGGTGGGCGGGCACCATCGCACGGTCTGTCAATCAAAGACAGGGTTTAAAGTGGACAAAACATCTAAACTCCACCCACAACCACAATCCATGGTGAGTAGAGTGAGGAAGAGTGAGTGAGATTAGATGTGAGTCTGATCACAGCAGTATCAGGTGGGGCGGCAGTAGCTCAGTTGGTAGAGCATTCGCCCACTGATCTGAAGATTGGCAGTTTGATTCCAGCTCTTGACATAAACATCACAGGTTGAGCGGTCAGATCCACTGACCCACAGGTTGGCTGGTGTGATTCTAGCTCCCACAGATGAATGCTGTCATTGTGTCCTTGGGCAAGACACTTAACCCACCTTGCCCACAGTGTCTGTGTACACTGGTGTGTGAATGTGTGTGTGAATGGGTGAGTGGTTCCTTGTTGTAAAGTGCTTTGAGTGCCTTGAAGGTGGAAAAGCGCTATAAAAAATGTGACCATTTACCATCACTGGTGAATCTCCCTCAGATGGGCATGACGGTGCATTGGCCAATCAGGAACACGCATAGTAACCTGATTCATCAGCTGGTTTCACTTCGTAGAAAGTGTTCGCAGTGTTAGAATTAGTTTGCTTGAAGGTAGGCGGGTACTTTTTTTCATTTAACCAATCGCTGCTATTTGGTTGTGACGTATGTAATGCGCTGCTAACTGGTATATTAAGTTTTTCCCAAATCCCATAGGAAGAAGAGCAATAACATCTTTCCCCTTGATAAAATTCACCAAACATTCTCTTTGTTCCAGCTTTAAATCCATGATTTTGGGAATCATTGCCACCACAGAATGTTTGGCTCTTCGCTGATTGGCTGGTGTCTGAACTCGCACTTCCGGGGTTCTTGCAAACCATCTAGTGTATTCTGATTCCTGACCTAGTCGCTGGAGAGAAATGAAATTGAGCGGAGGCACTAGGTGGCGTCAAACCCATTGGAGGGAGTGCAGGCTGATATTTGTCTGTATAAAAACTATACATATAATACTGGACATAGCAGGCAAACATTATTACATGACATTTTTGCATGCAGAATCCCTGAAAAGATTATTTTTAGGTCACATTGTCCACATTGTCCTCATAAATAATAAATAGCCTATCTGTTGAAATGTGTTGCATGTTAAATGTACACAATAATATAAACCCTGTGTGTAGTACCTTGGTAGAATCGTCCGTTGGGGTTCTTAGCTGCCGCCTCAGACACAGCGAGCCACAGCACGGTGTCAGCCCCTTGCTCTGGGCTCCTCAGGCTGCTCCTCATCGAGCGGTGGAAGTCTGGCATCGCGTTGGCCACAGCTGCAAAAGTAACACACAAAACCCCAACTAAGACTGTAGTGATTCAGGCATGTAAATGTATCAACAAAGCAAAGTCGTCGTTTGTGTCACTGACAATAACACTTTCAATCCTTTTATGTGATTGGATAATTTAGCAGGGTGATGGGGTTTGCAACTTACTATCAGTGTTCACTATTTGTGGATTTTTCTTTAGAATATTTCTCATGAAAATACTGTGTAATCTTCAGAGGAACACTGGCTCCCATTGGAAACCAGTAACCTTGCACACCAACATGGATTCTAGCGGTATAGCATTGCTGAGGTCACAAACTCATCAGAATCCATGTTCAATCCAACCCAATCACTTTATTTCTATAGTACATTTCACAAACAAACAATTTCTAAAGTGCTGCACAAATACATAATAATAACAACAATAATAAAATGATAAAATGAATGCTCAGATTTAATCATATTAGTCTTAAAATAATAAAAAGTAATAAAAAGTAAAATAAAATATGAGCAAAATCATAGAATAGCAATAAAAAATGAACCCAATAAAATACATTCAAAATAAATAAAAGACACAGAGGACCACACAACTCACGTGGTCTTAAAAGTCAGAGAGTAAAAGTGTGTCTTAAGACAAGATTTAAAACACTCCACTGTGCAGGCTGTTTGGACGTGGGGGGGCAGACCGTTCCAGAGCTTAGGGCCAACCACAGAGAAGGCCCTGTCCCCCTTGGTTTTAAGTCTCGTCTTAGGCACGACGAGTTGGAGCTGACCCTCGGACCTCAGAGCAGTGACCAAACTAACCAAAATGACAATGTCGACAGATGAACTTGAGCAAAAATACAATTTTGTTGTGAACATTGTGCAGAAGGTAAGCACTTTATGCATTTGTGGACAGGGAAGATGTCTGTGCTTTTCGCTCAACTGGATTTAACAAAAGTGAGATTTTTTTGCCTTGTTCCTCTGTTGTGACCCTTTGACCAATCCGATTCAAATACTAGTCATAATGTTCTACCTTTTCTTGGCCATTTTCAGCACCATATAGCACTAACAGCCCAGTCTTGTTCTACAATACCAGATGAGTGATGTAGAAAGAGCAGTGTGTTCTGCAGTTACTTGGCGTGTCGACCCAGCCTGGGTGCATCACAGAGAAGTGGATGTTTGGATGAGCTTTGGCCCACTGCTCCGTCAGGACCACCTGCTGCCTCTGGAAAACAGAAGCACACTTTTAACACAGGACAAGAACGGAATAGAACTTATGCCGTATACCATTTCAACGGTGGTGAGTGTGTAATGTTTTAAAAGTCAATATGATTCATTTTGGGTTGGATATGGGGTGTAAAAATGCACTTTATTAAGCTTTTATTTATTTGGAACATTGTGGTAACTGCGTGAGTAACCTTTTTTTTCTTTTTTACAATTGTTTTTTTACAATTTTACAATGTTGCTTTACCATTTGTATGACTCTTCACAAGTCTCTCATAGAAAGGAAAGGAAGAACCATTTAGAACTACAAAGAGAGCTGATTTTGTGCTTTTATACAAGCCCCTCTCAATTCCAGTCATACGCTAGCAACAACCAACAGTGTCCAGTTAGTTTCTTACCTTTTAGTTGAAAATCAAACACCTAAATGGGACATGAATGTTTGTATTGATCACAGGCTCCTGAAAATATCTTGGTTAAATCCATTTTGTATTTTGGATGATGTCACTGGAAAATATCAATATCAGTTTTTTGCACGATGAGATCAGTGCATTGGCAGACGTCTCCCCACAGTCTGCACTCTGGTTCACAGTTATTGAAAAGCTTCCCAGACTTTTGCCCACTTCTTAGATGACGTCTGAACTACATCACACCTCAATCAGTCCTATTATAACAAATATGAGCTATAATCATGTTTAATCTTCGCATCTGATTGACCTGCCTCTTAAATAGGACACAGCACACACAAGTATTCTCATAATGTAGGGTTTAGACGTCATTAGAAACCATTCAAATTGATTTATATAAGAAAAAAAAAACCTCAAACCTTGCATGTAATCCCACTATTATCTATGATAAAGCCTATATGCACACTGTACTTTCAATGTAATTACTTGCATGCATATTTACTTTAACAGCTTCTTGGCCTTTTTATATTTTTCTATAGAACTTATGATCTATAAATGTTGAACTTTATCATAATTTGTTAGGGATTAGCTCTACAAATTTATCATATTAATCTTGTATCTTAAAGTTTTTTGAACTGACATCAGTCTTCTTTGGGGTTGAATAATGGCACCACTGTCTGAAGTTATTGTTAGTTTTTGTTTCATACAGGTCCACTAATTACAGAGATATTCATTATAAAGCTCAGTTTAAACTGAAACTGAAATGTTTGAATAATATTGTCTACTGTCCCTAGTCTTTTTTTGGACACATTTTAGTGGAAACAAGTTAAATTTGCAGCTCTGTGTTGAAAAATGTATGAATATGGGTGTACTAATCATAACTGAACCTGGGTTGCGAGTTCCCAAACCTGCAAATACAGACCGTCTTGAAAATTTTTAATATCATGCAAAAGTTGAATATTCTTTCATACTATTTTAACTGGGTGTAAGAATAGGAATGGTTTCTCTTAGAACTTGCCTTAATGCGATGTTTCTGGTTACTAGATTAAAGGTGTTGTCTGGAGCAGGCGGTGGTAACGGCTGCTGCTCCTAATGCGCTCCAGGCCCTGTATAGGGTACTCTCCTTCTAGAATCCAGGTAGAGGCTCTTGATGGTGTATATCTGAGGTGGTGGCATATTTTTATGTGGCAGATTACCCTGCTACTATGTTTTTCTGCTCTCAGATTCTCTCAGTTTTCTTAAATCCTCATGAATTCTCTCGCAAATTCTGATCTCAGAGTTTGCTCATAAATAACTTTATCTGTAGAGTCAGTGTAGTTGCTATAGTGTGTGTGTATATATATTAATTGGCTGGTGGAGTATGTGCAATAGAGAATAGTGCAATGTAGTAGCACCTTGCACTTTAAAACATCTAAATTCTCAGAGCACTTTAAGACCACACACCTAGCCCTTTGGGCACTGAAATCTGGGATTCAGTTGTTTGTTTTGGTTTGATTAATCTTAGTTTTTTTGCATTACTAATTTTGGTTTTGGTGTGAGTTTAGTTTAGCTGATTCCAAATAGTTGTTAAATGTGTACTTTTTAAATGTGTAAAATGAACTCTTTTTAATATTTTGAACTAAATAAAGAATTGTATTTTTTCCACTATTTACTGCTTTTGTCCTATGTTTTGGCCAGATTTGCCTGAGTTATTCAATTAAATATATGAAAGTGGGGATCCCGTACTAGCCCTCCTCTGCTACAATATAAAAACAAAGGGGAAGAGAAAGCTTCAAGTTCTTAGACGTCCACAATGGGTCCTAATCAAGAACAAGGCTCAAAAGCTAAGAGATAGTAAAGATGACCAAGCTTGTGATGTAAAAACTTACTGTGTTAAAGTAAAAAGCTATGTAACAACTGAAGGACTTCCAACAGACTGCTTCAGACTTTTTGACCGCTTTTTACTTTATCACAGTTTTTACATTACAAGCTTGGTTATCTTTACTGTTTGTTATTTTTTCTTAATATTCAAATTAAATTACATGGGCTATAGAATTCACATATACATTTTCCTCATTCTCAGCATACAGACAGCATATACTGTAGCTGCAGAGGCACTGATTCATGATGTCTGCAGGTGCTGGGCTTTAGGGAGTCACCATTCAGATCAGAGAAAGGCATTTTAGGTTTAAACCAACTGGATTTCAGCATTGAAACCCAAATGAGGTAATCATTAGGGCTGGGTATCGTTATGAAGCTGCCGATACGATACATACCTCGATATACAGGCCACGATACAATACACACCTCGATACATAGGCCATGATACGATACACACCTCAATACAGTGCTTTTTCGGTTTGATACGATAGATTTCAAATCAATTCAGTACAGTTCAATAAAAAATAATGGCTAATTCATGGCTGTGACACTAAAAGTCTTTGTGAAACCCCTTTTTGTGCAAAGTTCATATGAAACACAAACATTTTAATCCTGAAAACAGTGAAAATGTCAAATGTGTTGCATAAATGAGTTTTTTTCCCCTCTAAACAAACAACAAAACTGTAGCTGTAACAAAATAATATAGTAAAATAAACCAAAAAATAGACTTGGCGATATATTGATACAGCAGCCCACGATATCGATAGTGTATCATTACATTAAATGATACGATATATCGATATTTTGATATTTTTGCACACCCCTAGTAATCATCAACCAAAAACACCAAAAGCTATATTTAATTGAGCATGTTTACCTCATATCTGGGAACACAGTTAAGTCAAGTTTATCAAATTTAAAATCTAAGTATTTATATAATTCTTTTAAATGGCCCATATTACACTATTTTCTGATCTGTTATAATGTTATTTCCTCATTAAAAACATACCAGGAATTGTGTTTTGTTTTATTCACACATATTTAATACACAAATCCTGCAATCAAACAGAAAACGCACTGTTCCACCTTGTGATGTCATGTGGTAATACAGGAAGTGTTCTAATGCGTTTTTAAACACCTCACTAGAAATATTTGGATAATTTCAGCCCTAGATTTGCCAGCCCCTACTGAACAAAAGATAAAAGGTAGTTGTTGACTTGAAAACTTGAAAAAAAGCTTCATGACATCACAAGGTGGAATGGAGCATTTTGAACTTTGGACACTCCAAACCAAACATGTGTGAATGAAACAAAACACAACTTCAGGTATGTTTGTGGGGAGGTAACAACATTATAACATGGCTCAAAGATCACAAGTGAATTCTACTTGATATATTACCTTTAACAAGTGATGATTTTGAGTTGGTATGGTCTTACCTTGTGCTGGGCGTAGACCATGGTGCCGTCATAGCGCCCCCTGTCAGACTGGAGGTTTCCTATCCTCAGCTTCTGCACCAGCATCCCCCCAGAGGACACAGTAATCTGAAAACAAAATCCAAAATCCAGTGTCAATAGTTTAAAAGAATCCACTACAAACTATGTCCAGATGAGAATAGTGTATTGTTGTTCATTTTTTATTTCATTCAGCTGCATGTTGATTTAGTAAGATTTGTATAAAGATGTGTATATTTGCTAATAGATAGGGCGATGTGTGTAGGAGTGTCTCACCACTCGGGGATCTGCGCTCTTCTCTATCAGAGGAATGAGGCACTTGGTGAGAATGTAGACCCCTGGTGGAGGAAGAAAGATTTACCACAAATGAGACTGACCATGGCCCTTATTTTGTGATTTCTCCAAAACATCTTCCACATTAAAGGTCCTATATTACTCAAAATTTACTCTTAGTTATGAATTATGTTATTAGGTTCTTTTTTCAGACCAAAAGTTTGTTTTAGCACTCTTCTTTAGAGTGGTGATGTCACGTCATGTTGCTGTGACATCACGTGACCACTCTGAGGAAGAGTGCTAGTGAGCAGTCGAAACTGTCAGGTATGAAAACAAACTTTTGCTCTGAAAAAATAACCTAATAACATAAATTATTGGAAGACCAAATTAATCTTATTGGCTATGACTCTTGTGAGCTTTAAGCCATGCTCAAAATGTTCCACTCTACCTTGTGACGTAATGAAACGGTAGTTTTCAAGTCAGCAGCAGCTACCTTTTACCTTCAGTTCAGTAGAGATTGGCAATTCCAGGACTGAAATAATCCAGATAATTCTAGTAAAGGTGTATGGAGTTTAAAAATGCAATGAGTCACTTCGTGCATGACCACATGACAACATGGAACTTTCTGTTTCAGACAAGAACTCATCCTAAACACGCAGGATTTGTGTGTTAAATATGTGTGAATGAAACAAAACACAACTCCAGGTCTGTTTGTGATGAGGAAACAACATTATAACAGATCAGAAAATGGCGCAATATGGGCCCTTTAAGTGCTGTTCCAAACGGACGTGCAGTGAGGAGAAGTCACTGAGTTAAGAGGTGTGTGTAACAGCAGAGAGCAGCTTGACGTACAAAACACACCATAGGAGATAGTTCTATTTTTATTTAGAAGCGTGAACGTCTTAATTTAGACATTTCAGACTGCATTGCATACATTTACATATGAAAGAGGAAGCAGGGTTGAGATCAGATCAGAATTTAGTTACAATTTTGTTTTTTGTTCACATTACGGTTGCTAGGTAACATACCTCTGTGTTTGTCATATTCAACCATGAAATACAATTATAAACGTCACCAAAATGAAAAATATAGAAAAGACTAAGCAATTTTTTTTTTTTTTAGTTAAATCTTATAATGATGTTAACAATGTTTTGTAGAAATTAGTATCTTAACCTTTCAAATGCACTCTTGTTTACCTACTTATCTCCATGGAGTTGTTATTGCTTTTCCTGAATGTTCCATGGTATGACATTAAACACATTCATCTAGCATTTATTCTAGTGCTGTCATGCGATTAAAAAAATTGAGAGATTAATTAATTATGATCTGTAATTAATTAATCTAATTAATCTCATTTTAATCTCACCTAAAAATTGCTGAGAAAAGCCTTCAATTTGAGGTATTTTCATTTAAATTCATTATTACATTATTGTGGCAGATCAAAAGACTGATATAGATTTTAAAAAGTGACTTTATAAAGTCATTTATTGTTTAACAAATCTCTCCAAATTGGCTGTTGAGCCCAAGTCTCCATGAATAAGAAACTGTTTGTTGTAAAGTAGCAAAGACGAGGAAATCTGAACATAATAACTTTTGTCTACTTAAAGACAATAAAAAGTCCAGTCTTTCCTTAACCATATTAAAAATATTATTGATAGAGAAATGCTTTATATATGAGATCACTGGTTTTAGTCCTGGTTTAGACCTGGTTTAGACCTACTTTAGTCCTAGTTTAGTCCTGGAATGGATTAATCCTGGTTTTAGTCCTGGTGTTAGTCCTGTTAGTCCTTTTAGTCCTTTCCTGTTTTAGTTCTGGTTTTAGTTCTGGTTTAGTCCTGGTTTAGACCTGGTGGTTTAGTTCTGGTTTTAGTTCTGGTTTTAGTCCTGGTTTAGTCCTGGTTTAGACCTGGTTTTAGTTCTGGTTTTTAGTTCTGGTTTAGTTCTGGTTTTAGTTCTGGTTTAGTCCTGGACTGGATTAGTCCTGGTTTTAGTCTTGGTGTTAGTTCTGGTTTAGAGGCGCACAGGAGGAAGCGCGGTTTACGCGCGTACGCGAGAAAACACGATCCACACGCGGCTCACGGGAGCACGTCGGTGTCCGCGCAGTGTCTACGGAAGGAAACGTGGTCCGCGCGTTCTCAGGTTAATGACGATGATGAATGTTTGTGTGTGTGTGTTTGTGTGTGTGTGTGTGTGTGTGTTGTGTGTTTGTGTGTGTTTGTGTGCGTGTCCCCTCATGTGGCAGGTCACTATAGGACAGTAGTGCAGACATCATGAGCCTATGCAGGTTGTTTTCAGGCGATATTATATTTGTTATTTTCTTTTATATTTCACGTCGGGAGAATAATTTCCAAGACACGAATGTGTTTTTACCTGTGCACTGCTGCTCTGTTCTACTGGCTCTTCCACCTCGTCCATTGTGCGACTGACGGCGCCAACGTGAACATGACGTTTACATCGCTGTTACTGCGCGCGTTTTGTGTGGGTTTCCGGCAATGAGTGGAATTACCGAAATAAAAAAATTTATAAATGTGTTTTGTGTGTGTGTGTGTGTGTGTGTTGTTGTCCCAACAACACATAAAAACAAGTTTTATAATAAAGAAACTCACATACAGAAACACTAAAGTTAGAGATTAAAAATGAGATTAATGCGATTAAAAAACATAACGCGCTAAATATGACTGTAATTAATTAATCGCAATTAACGCGATAATTTGACACCCCTAATTTATTCATTAATTAAAAATGCAATAATTCCTTCTGTGAATAGAGGTGATTCTCCACAGATCTGAATTGTAATGCAACATAAACTGTAACCGCTTGTCTCCTTTGTGATAATCTATACTGTGGAACATTCCAGGCAACGCAATAACATTTCCATGGAGACAAGCGTGTAGCAGACCCTCCACCAGAAAAGTTGCACAGTGCACCTTTAAACTAGGATTCTGTTATAACGTCACTTGAACACAACTGAACTACCAATTACTTAAAACAATTTTTTTCTGTGCTGTCAAAGGTTAATAGAAGAGTCATTATCACATATTAGTCATGTTTTTGTGATTCACGTTTTAAATCCGCTGCTGATGATGAGAGTGGCTTTTGTGAGGCAGAACCAGCGTCACATAACAGAAGTTAATCAAATGTTCTTTCTATTTAATTTTCATAATTGTTTGTAGCAATAATTTTAATCACGATTCAAATTAAATTCAGTCCACAGTCCTGGTTCACTTAAACAGAATAAAAATACATTACATTTTCATTTTTTTCTCATTAAATGTAAACAGGCTAACCATGTTTACATTGTCTGATTTCTGGAGTTATCAGATTATTAAACGCCTGATGTGTGTAATCCAATTTCTTGAACAAAGAAAATTATGTAAAAAGGCCAAACTAATGATGCAATGAAAAAATTTAAGAGAAAATGTTAAAAACTGAAAGAGTTATTTCCAAATGTACTTTGTCTAACAACAGTTACTCTAAAAATCTATTGATTAAAGTGACTTTACTCAACTTCTTTCACGTTATTAATTAAAATCAGTTTTCCCCCAGTACAGATTTATTGTAAAAGCAGCTCTTAGGGTGAAAATGGTATTGATGTCTGTGCCTAATTATAGAGTGCTTTATTCTCAAAACAAGATATATGAAAAAAGTGCCAATGTTTGTTAGCTTTACCGTCACAGTAAACTCTGCTCTGGCCTTTGAAAGTTGTGAAAAACTAATCACTGTGAATAATTAGGATGCTCAGAATGCATGAGGGAAGTGAGTAATAACTATGGGCCACTGCAAACTCTTTAAAATGAACTTCTTTAACTTAGTTTCTTTTGTGCATATACAACCACCCCAAAATCAGATCTAATTATTAGGTTATCTGATTACTCTAGTTATCTGATTTGTACTGGGTTATCTGCTTACTCTAATTATCTGATTTGTACTACATTACTTGATTATTCTTGTTATCCAATTTGTAATGGGTTATCTGATTCCTCTAGTTATCTGATTATTCTAGTTATCTGATTTGCATTTGTTATCTGATTTCTCTAGTTATCTGATTATTCTAGTTGTCCAATTTGCATTTGGCTATCTGATTTTTCTAGTTATGATCATTCTATTTATCCAATTTGTACTGGGTTATCTGATTCACCTAGTTATCTGATTATTATAGTCATCCAATTTGCATTGGGTTATCTGATTTCTCTAGTTATATGATTATTCTAGTTATCTGATTTGCATTGGGTTATCTGATTTCTCTAGTTATCTGACTTGTAATGGGTTATCTGATTACTCTTGTTATCTGATTATACTGGCCATTTTCATACAATCGGTGACTCACCCAGGACGTTGGTGGCGAAGCTCTTCTCCAGCCCCTCTGCGTTCACTTCCCTCTGACTCATAATGGCGCCGGCGTTGTTGATCTGTGAGTTTATAAATTGAGAAAGTCAAACATGAATCATATGACACTAGAAAGTACACTGTAAGAAGGGTGGGATATTAGGGCCAAAGAACAGTTTCTATTTTTGATCTTCAAGAGAGATTTTTTTTCTTTATATTTTAAAGTTAAAGATAGTTAACTCGTTGCTCAAGTTGCTGTACCAGATTTTTAAAAATGTGTCTTTAAAATGTGAAAAACAGAACTAGTTCATTTTAAACAGTTTGCAGTTGTCCAAAGTTATTCCTCACAAACCTTATGCATTCCAAGCGTATTATTATTATTATATTGTTATTACCATGATGAGTTTATAAGCACTTTTCACAAAATTCAGAGACCAGAGCAGACAACAACTAGCCAGGCTGGGGCCACCTAGTGCCTTCACTCAATTTCATTTCTTTCCAGCGACTAGGTCAGGAATCAGAATACACTAGACGGTTTGCAAAAACCCCAGAAGTGCGAGTTCGGGCACCAGACAGTCAGCGAAGAGCCATACATTCTGTGTTGGCAACGATTCACGAGATCAGTGATTTAAAGCTGGAACAAAGAGAATGTTTGGTAAATTTCATCAAGGGGAAACACGATTTGGGAAAAGCTTAATATACCAGTTAGCCCCGTTGGCGGCGGATTACATACGTCATGACCAAATAGCAGCGATTGGTTAAATTAAAAAAATTCTAATGCTGCGAGGTCAGACGGTTTCTACCAAATGAAACTGGCTGATGAATCAGGCTAGACAACAACTATGATTATCAACGAATTTTGCTCCATGTAACTTTTCTGGATCCACCACCTGTATGTCTCCTGCATGGAGATGTTATAGCTTGCTCTGAAATGTTCCGCTGTATGACATACTGTACATCTATATGGAGATAAGCAGAGGATGGAAGGTGGTCCAGCTCACAGTAAGGATGCTTGTTTTTCAAGACATCTTTCTAGCAAGAAAAACTATCAGAAATGCATGGAAGCAAGATAGATATTGTAGAACATTCCATTCCAACCCATAAAATCTCCATGGAAACAAAGAAGTGGTGGAAAAATTATATAGTTAATCTTTGACATAATTATATTTAAGATTTTGCGAAAGATCTTAGTTAGGTTTCTCAAGTGTAACAATTTGGCATGAGTAGTAATTACATAATTGTTACCTAGTAACCATAATGTTAACATCAACCAAAACTCGTAATGATTTTACCAGGACATTGAGCGTCTTGTATTTCCTTTTGAAGCTCTCTGCGAACTCCCATACTTTCTTAGTCTCAGATAGATCCAGGATGTGCACGTATATCTCCTGCAAACCAAGATCAATGTATTTATTTTTTTGTATATTAGTGTTATATAGCAGTTTTCCAGATGGTTTATTCTTGTTCTTACTTTGTTTCCCGTTTCCTTCACTATGTCGGCTCGGGCTTCCTCAGCCTTGTCCTTATTTCTGCAGACCATGTGGACCGTGCCCCCTGTATGAATATGAAACTGTGTTAAGCGGCGTTAGCGTTAATGTCGTGTAATGTACCTCTCTTAGCATGTCTCACCTCTCTTAGCGATACCCATTGCAGTAGCCTTCCCAATGCCGCTGTTGGCTCCGGTGATCATGAACACGCGTCCAGCCAGAGACACCTCCAGGTCCTTCTCCACAAACTGCTTCGATGCAGCCAGGAATGGACTCCTGCAACATACGAGCTCTGTGTTTGTAAAAAAGAATTTCCTCTCAGGGACAACAGACGACTTAAGTCTAAAAGTGTAAGCTCGAACTTAAAATCTGCTCAAGGTTTTTTCCTATGACACAACAATCCTGGGAAAACCAAATGTTTATACATGCATGAATGAAGCAATATACAACACCAGGTAAGTTTTAGATGAGAGAACAATAACGTTGCTAAAATCTAAATTATTAAAAGTCAATTTTGCATAATATAAATAAAAAATACAAAAGTTATATGCACTGAATACTGTACAGATACAATGGAGAGGTCAGTGCGATAACAGCTCTGTTCTGTGTGAGCCACTTCAGACTGCCCTATTGTCCTGGTGCTGTTATGGCCGTCAGGAGAGGGAGGGGCATTTAGACCGAGGCATGGGGCAGTAGAAGGGTAAAAGAACGCTCTGTGCATTGGTGTCAAGCTGAAACCCATTAGCTCGGGTCAGAGGAGGTCAGAGGAGGTCAGGGAGAGAGGAGATGGACACTAGACAAAGGGGAAGACTGCAACAATCACCAAATCTCACCACACGGACAGGGCGATCAGGGATACGCAGTCTGAATAGTTTTAATAATAGATTAGACAATTACAGAAGTCACAAAATCAAATCAAAGAAATTGTATGATTTTAAGAATATTCACCGCTATTGACATTAGGGGTAGGTAGTGTTGTCACAATACCAACATTTCACACTCGATTTCAATACTAAGGAATCATGGAAGTATAATAGATCCATGTAAGGAATATATTCAGTACTCAATAGCAGGTCTCATACAACGATGATTATAAAAACAGTATTTCTTAACTCTTGCTTAATATAATAGATTATGATTTTCAACATTAAATATACATAGTACTTTCTTTAATATTACCATGTGGCCTTATATCTGCATAATCCCTCAGTCATCCAAGCAGGTTCCATAGTGGTCCATGAGCATATACTAGTCTATATGCTTTTATACTAGTTTTAGTATTGGTTAGTATCTGATTTTTTGATACTTTTGACAACCCCAGGGCATGTGATAAAATTGCTTTATTCATTTTCTTAACATTAACAATACAGAGTCACTTAACACAACTGAAGTCAAATGTCATCCTCCAAACCTCCTCTAAACACAAAAGACACAGAGGGTTGATCGAGGGCCGTAGACTGGTGCTCATTACAGTGAATAATTGAAATATGTGCATGTTTAACACGTTAGAATGAGCCATCAGTCTTTATTCACGCTAAGATCATTAAAACCACACACTAAATATTAAAAATTAGCTTTATCAAGGTAGATTTTCAAAAAAACTTGTAGTAAAAAGTTTTTAATTGATGCAAGGTAATCTGGGCCAATTCACCTGGAAGCCTGAGGGCCGCATTTGGCCCACGGGCGATAGTTTGGACATGCCTGATCTAAGATCTAACTGGTCAGGACTACCTTAGCCTACCTGAGGATTTCACAATATTGTACTTATTTTGGGTTGATACGGAAAACCATAATGCATATAGGTAACCCATCCAGGCACAGGGAGAAAGATACAAACTCCACATGGAAAGGTTTGGGAGACCCAGGAATTGAACTCAGAACCTTCTTGCTGTGAGGCAGAAATGATAACTGCTCAGCCACCATGTTGCTAACTAACACTCTGTTCAAATGAAATCAGGCAGTTTGGCCAGTACAGCTGCTCTGGGTCATGACTGTAAAAACATGTCACATATTATCAGTTGAAATGATTTGCATCCAGTTGGTTTATAGTGATAGTGCAGAAGCTCAGTCACCTGCTGGGAGCTCAGAGTGGAGTCGCTACTCTTCCACAGAGCTGCAGTGGAGATGGCCTGATCCAGCTTTCCTGACAATTTGAGTCTTGAACAAAATATCCTCTTGCTACATCACACCGATATCAAGTGGCGATAAACTGAAAATGAATAGATTTTCCCTCTTTCAAAGTCTTTAATAAAGGTTTAGAGATAAGCTTGGTTAGCACAACTGTACATTAACTTTAGTCTCATTTTATTAAAGGAGAAACATTATCTTTTTTGGAGTTGTAAGCTAATAGATAATTATTTTACATTCAGTTCCTTGTAAAACTCAGTCTTACTTGATCTCAAACAGTTTAACAAAACACAAAATAGGTCCATTGACTTCTTGTTCAAAACAGCAGAACTGATAAGTCTTGTTTCATAGGGGTCTTTTCTTTTCTTTTTTCTTTTTTGGGCAATAGTAAGTTAATACAGATTAGTAGGTGGGAATAGGGGATAAGTGAAGACAGAGATTTTCATGCATGTAAATCAATCAAAATAGGAAAAAGTAAGACAGAACAATAGCTATTACAACATGGTTAAAAGTTTGAAATCAGTTTTGCTTAATAGCCTATGCCCCCTTCAAAGACCTTTCCATTAACATGATAACAGTAGACCATCTTTTAAATATTTCATTTCTAGGAACTAATTCTTACTTGGTGAACTCGGTGAGCCCCTTGACGAACCAGGCGAAGTTGCGGTACAGAGACATGATGCTGCGGGGTGATGGTGCTCTGTCTGTGGCTGTAGTGGTCCCAGTCTCTGGTCTCTGGCTCCGGTGTGCCCTTCGGTCCCTCTCCCGCTGTCTCTCCCCTTTGTAGCCTGCCCTGACCCCACGTGCGCAGGGACTCTCCAAGACCCGGGTGAGCGGGTTGGAGGGTCACGTGAGGACAAGGGCCGGGCAGATCTATAGGCTTTTAGAACACGCTGTTGTTGGTTAATTTTAGGTGCAGTTGTTTCACAGCTCGCTACTGCCACTCACTTTACTGACAGTGGACGTAGGTTAAGCCATTTGGCTGTTGTTATTTTTTACTGGCTTATCATCATTAAAACGTTGGTTCATTAGTGCTTATGATTGTTATAAGAATTTAAAGTCGCACTATGGAACTTTTGTAGAGGGTCCATCTTGCTTGACTCCATGTTATTCTTCCTGAAATGTTTTACAGTGTGGCATTTAATTTAGCTGTCTCCATGGAGCCAAGCAGCCACATCACCAGGCCAAGTGAGAGGTCAGTGATAACAATGCATCTTTTTGTGGTAGTTTTGGGAAATAAAAACACTTATTTAACTTTAATTCCAGTTTAATTACATACTGTTGTCTGTTGTCCAACTGGATGTCTTACGCAGGAGAAGGAAATATGGGTCCGGGAAGAAAAGTCAACATAGTATGATTTCAAAAGAGAACTTAATCCACGAGTGCTCAAATGAAAAAATAGATATATTTACAGGTTTCAATAGCTCCTGAACTGGTGTCTGCAGTTCACACAACTCTCCTCCTCAAAACACATACTGCCTCTGTGCAGATGGGAGTCTCCTTTTATAGTACAAGGCTCCTCCCCCAAATCAATTAACAAACAAAAACTTTTAATACCAAAAATCATAAACATTACCAGAAACCAAAATATCCTAATAATAACCTTTAAACACAGATAGGAAAAAAATATAATATTAAAAACGGGAAGTCACCTGACGTTCTTCTTGACGTCACACACGCGCGCGCTACGTGACGCCATATATAAAGAGGAAGCTTCTTTATCTCGGATTGGCCGATGGACACACGCTGAAGGGCGGCAGACATGGAGGGAAGTTTAAAAACTGAAGTATGGCTATGGAGAAGGGAATGTTTGTGCAACAATCAAGTGTGCACCCATGACTGTTGCAATAGAGATGTGCGGAACCCCTGGGGATAGCGGCAAAAAGACAGGTAAGTGAAACATCTGTGTGCGTATGCGTGTGCGCATGGTAAGACTATGAAGGCCAGAAGGCACAAGTTAGACAGCAATATACCACAATTGAGATAGTGGTATGCCAATGGTGTGCCAAGGGAAGATCATGGTGCAAGTATAGCTTGTGTGAGTCAATGTTAAACTGAGATGTACGTGGAGAATAAATTACTTAAATTCTCTTACACACACTGTGGATCATCTCAGGCAAAGCAATAACATCACCACGGAGGAAAGCAGATGGTGGACCCTCCACCAGAAAAGTTACAAGAGCACCTTTGAAATTCATTCAGTACTACTAGGCTTATTTTATGAAAACCAAAATTTGACTTTCACTGTTTACGAGTAGTTTAGAAAAGTAACATCAGCACATATTGTAGGCTACGGTCTGCAACTGTGGCAACTCAAAATTGGGGTCTGATTGGTGGTTTTCAGATTTTAGAATGTGACGATGTCTTGTACTTTCCCACAAAATATCCAAAAGGTAAATTTATAAATAAATGTTGATAATTTCTAATAGTCACTAGACTCTAGAACTCACTTTATTACAACACAAATCTGCATTTTAACGATATTCATTTTAGTATTCTGTATTAAATATTACTAACGCTGTAATGTAATCTGAAAACAATGAGCTAATATCTTCCAACGACATGAGAATAAAAATACTGAGTAATTAAAAGTATTTATTTATTTTATACTGTGGGAGACTAATGCCATTCACTCTTGGACCGTCTTCCGTGTTTTCTCCCTTTGAGCACAGCGTCCTCAGTCTCTACCTGTGCGCTGTCCGTTACGCACGGCCTTTTTTCCATTTCAACCAATGAGCGTAGGAGCGGCAGGGCGTCGAGAGGTGCGACAGGAGAAGTGGCAAAGCGTCAAGAGGTGAGCGGCAGGAGGTGCGCCGGAGCGTCAAGAAGGGCGGCAAAGCGTCAAGAGCGTCAGGAGCGGCAGGGCGCGACGCGACGCGACAGAGTAGACGGCAGACGGAGCGGTGTGCACGGGTTTATGGAAAGATCAACAAGGTCGCTCCATCCTCGACATGTTTAGGAGGGCTTCACCTGGCTATAGAAACGCACAGGTGGTCGATTGTCGCTGGATAAACTAGAAGGGTTTGAACTCGGGTGAACTTTTACGGAGTGCTCTTCCAAAATGGTGAGTAGATAGACGCACCGAGTTAGCTTGTTTTATGCTGTTAGTTATTACGTCTATTATAACAACATGTGCCCTAAAATACCATGGCCTATGTTATCTCAATAGGCTATAGAGGAGTTTACAAGATTCAACTTTTACGCACGTTATCATTTTCAGTCTCGTCTTTCTAATAGTGCAGTAGTAGGCTATCATAATAACATTTGCCCTACCGTACCTTACGTTATCTAAAGAGCCTATTAAAGGAACGTATACGGTGCTTAGAACTTTTTCATTAGTAGTACAGACTTCCTCGTTCAAAGTCCTATGCCAGGGGACTGATATGACAATCTTGGCTGTAATTTATAGCATCAGATAACGTGTCTTACTTATGTTCACATAGGACGTTGCAGTAGTTGCAGTAGTTGATTACCCTGGCAAATTCATGCAAATACCTGCGTCCTCCTGTAGCCCGTTTGGTTGCAGGTGGACTACATGTGCTAAATAGGTTTCTCAGCCCTGATTTAGTTCTGCTTTAGTCCTGTTTTGTCATATTTTTTCCATAGAATTGAACTAGAATTTAACCAGAACTAAATCAGATACGGTCAGATTTGATTAGATACATGCAGTGTTAACCAGGATTAAAGTCCACTAAACCGGGATCAAACGAGGACTAAATTGGGACTAAACCAGGCCTAAATAGGTTTAAACCAGGACTAAAGGACTACACCAAAACAAAACCACGACTACACAAACATGAAATCAGAACTAAACCAGGTCGGAACCAGGAATACACAAGGATTAAGTGAGGACTAAGTCTGGATTAAATCAAGTGAATACTCCACGTCTAAACCAGAATTAAACCAGAACTATAGCAGGTTTAAACCAAGATTTAACTAACACTACAGTGGGACTACACCAGGACTAAATCAAGTTTAAACCAGAACTAACCAGGTCTACCCCAGGCCCACACATGCTCTCGGGGTCTTTCCTTCAGGTTAAATGATAATAGTGATTGCAGGCTCCATATTGTGACATTGTTGACTTACTTTATTGTTGTTAGAGATAAAATCACTCTGTTTTTCTTGGTACATCGTTAACCAAAGAACCAGGCGTGTCCATGTTTGAACAGGGATTAAAAAGGGTTAAAGTAGCTCAGTGGAATGTCAGGGATGTGTCTAATTAATGGAGCATTTGGAACAAGGGGATATTGTGCAAAAGTGCATGTGTTATTTATTTGTGTCTACAATTCAAACATCTGAAATTGAATGTACAGAATATAAGCAGTTTTCAAAGAAATTACACCAAGTTGTATCCTGGAATTAGGCCTTACTATCTCTAAATTCATGAGTGAACTGATATCAGAACTAAACCAAGTCAAAACTAAAAGGAAATATTAGAAAATTACTAATACTTTAGTATTTCAAGTTTTTGTGATTGAGAGCCATCTTTAACCAATCACAGTGTGAACTCTCAGAAAAAGGCAATAAAATGATTGTCTAGTCTGTTATTTAATATTTTGTCTTTTGCAATTCTGTAGCATTCTGCCCTGGACAAACTTCCTCTTGAGGACAATAAAGTTTGTTAATTTATTAATTATTAATTCAGTGGTAGTGTGGGCATAATAAAAACAACATCGAATTATCTCAATTTTATTTTGTCTTATTAAACATTTAGTACCATGGTTAGTATTTGCTTGGTAATGATAAAAAGGGATGTACTTTATTCAGGTTTGCCCCTGTAATTAAATAAAAATTGGGACCAATTGGGGGGTCAGCTACCACAGATGAACACTGTGTGAATAGTTCACCTGCCTCATCCTCAGTGTCTGTAAACACTGGTGTGTGAATGTGTGTGTGAATGGGTGAATGGTTCCCTGATGTGAAGGGTGCATTAAAGGTGGAAAAGTGTTATATAAATATGTTTTTCTCTTCCTCAGATGCACTTTTTGCTGCTGTTCAGCCGCCAGGGGAAGCTGCGTCTGCAGAAGTGGTTCACTCCGCTCACAGATCGAGAGAAGAAGAAGGTGATCCGGGACATGATGCTGATGGTTCTGTCCCGACCCCCCAGAACCTGCAACTTCCTTCAATGGAGAGACCTCAAAATCGTATACAAGAGGTGAAAAATTACACATTTACATGCTCTCATGCTCAGTACTCGCTGGATATTAAATGGATGGGTATCCAGAGTTTTCATAGTGACTTGTAAATGTGATGCATCTTTCAAATGGTGAAAAGGCCACAAAATGTCACATATAAACAGGAAGCTGAATGAAAATATATGCTCTGTCTGGTTTAAAATGGTACATTTGCCAGTTCCTTAACCTACATATGGGCAGTTGAACATAAGGAGAGATGCACTTTATTGTCCCCGTAGGGAAATGTGTCCATCCTACAATACCGCTGGGGCAACCTGTCAGGAGCAGTTTGCCCAGATCTTGAGGTAGGCTTGGTCAGGGCTACCTTAGCTCAGCATAGACATACTTGATGTGTAACTGTCAATGAGTTCTAGCCACTGAATGCTGCGCTAGCATAGATTAATAAGAGCTGCAGGTGCTGAGGTTTCAGTATGCAGATGATATAGTAATTTTAGGTTTTATTTCAAATGTGTTTTTCTCAAAGGATCTGGAAACTTAAAATAATGAGCCCATTGTGATTTCTTAATGGATAATCAGCAAAAACACAAGATGCAAACAATTGAATGTTTCTTGTAAATGATAATAAATCCACATTTCATATGTTATCAATCAAGGCAATATTTGAGCTGAATGTGTGCTTCATATGTGTAGACACGTATTTGTCCATTACAGTGTCTCTCTGGTCTAAATGCAGATACGCCAGTCTGTACTTCTGTGCTGGTTTGGAGGACCAGGACAACGAGCTGCTCACTCTGGAGATTCTGCACAGATACGTGGAGCTACTCGATAAATACTTTGGAAATGTGAGAAATATTAAATACCTCTCAAAAGTTTAGTCACACCCTCTCATTCAATGTTTTTTTAATTTATTTTGACTACTTTCTACATTTTAGATATGGACAGAATATAGATATGAAATGTATGAAGCAAGAAAAAAGTTACATAATTCTACTGAATATATTTTTGACAAAGAAGGTGGCTACTTTGAGGATTTGAATATAGAATGAAGAAAAAAAAATAGTTATTCACCTTTTTGTCTTTGCAATATTATTCCATATATCTTACTTCTTATGATGTGCATAGAAACTGTACAATTACTTAAAATAAAGAAAAAAATAATGAGAGGGTGTGTCCAAACGTTTGATAGGTACTGTGTATAACAAATCTTTACCAATCCAACATGAAATATTCTGTTAAAATTTGTGTGCATTATTTAGTCCATACTCTGTCCTGGGGTAGACTGACAGATGCCCCACTGTGGCACCTGGTGTGCCCAGCGGTCTCCCACCCAAGTACTGAACAGGGCCCAGCCTTAGATTCCCAGATCAGATCTGATTGGGCATTGCCAAATTTATGGCGGATTATGCTGTAAAAGGGGAAATTAAATGTTAAAGGTGCTGTACCTGATGTCTTACAACAAAACAAAACAAACAGAACTAGTTCATTTAAACTGTTTGCAAAGATCCAAAGTTATTCCTCAATTATGTTATGCATTGCATACACCCCAATGAGTTTATATGCACTTTTCACAAATCTCAGAGACCAGACCGGAGGTTTGCAGTCACAGTAAAGCTAACAACAACTAGCATGCTAGTTCCTGAATATTGTACAATAAAACACTTGATGTAGACAGAGCCAGACAGCACACAGCAGACCTATTTTGACCTCAAAGTTGCTTGTACAATATATCAGTATAGCAAAGACACATTTTGCCCAAATGCATGGGAATAATCAGGCACAGATCCTTTAAAATGCAGTTCGTTATTACATTATTATACATTATATTGTGTCTTCTATGTGTAAGGTGTGTGAGCTCGACATCATCTTTAATTTTGAGAAGGCTTACTTCATTCTGGACGAGTTTCTGATGGGAGGAGAGGTCCTGGAGACATCCCGAGTGGCTGTGGCTGGAAGTCTGGAAGAAGCTGACACTTTACAGGAGGTACAAGCAGGAGAGTGCAGTGTGGAACCACACAGACAGTACAGTGATGGCATTGTTTTGTTTTCAATGGTCTGTGCTAGGGTTGGGCCGTATCCAAATTTTGATACCATTAAACCTTCTCAGGATTTTACCACGGTATACCGTAGTACCAACATGTTTTAGTACGACTTTGGGAAGCTACAAAGCCACACCGCTGTATGGTCTATGCATATGACCTGCAGATTTATAATCTCTGAAATGTTTCACATGAACCAACACGATAGACACAGAACAGACTCACCGTCAACTGCACATCCTCTGTCACAGAGAGAACACTCATAATTCCAGAGTCATGTCCTTTAGTCCAACAGAAGCTGAACCGCATCAGCAGCACAAGAAGTGAGCTGTTTTTAGGTGCTTATAGTTCATGCAAATGAGCCATGTGGTTTTAAGTTTCATTTCTGTAAAATGTAAAGAAATGTGCGCCTGAAGCCAAAATGCTGCGAAATTGCAGAAGTACAAGTATTTTATTGGGGAGCAACTCGCTTGTCTTGGTCTACCTTATGAGCGTCACGTGACAGCGGAACAAAACTAATCGAATGTTATCTCCCCAGGCAGTCAAAAGAAACATTATAGACACTATTAGTTTTAAATCGTGATAGCATTAAACTGAAAATACAACCACACATTCATTTGTGCTGAGCAAACAAATTTAGGTATCAATGAATTATTATATTATATTACATTACATTACATTACATTACATTATATTATATTATATTATATTAGGTCCTTATACGCTGAGTGTCTTATCCAGTTCATATGGTTCCCATGAATAGAGCCGAGGACGGTGGTCTCCACATTCTTATATTTGCCCTCATAGTCTTAAAGAAGATGAGCAATAAATTGCTATTCAAAAGGATACTTTTACTTGTTGTTGTCATAACTCTATTGTAGTAACTTTACTTAAGGCATTAATAAGTGACATATTTACTCCAAAAACTCAAATCAAGAAGAACCCTATGTCACAATAATCTTGTATAAATCAATAGGAGTACATACAACAACATTAGTTACTGCTGATTTAGTCCCAGTTCAGTCCCGATTTTGATGTTGTCTATCTGCAAGTGTGAATGCCATAATGGGGAATATTTTAGACAAAGCAATAACATGTTGTGAATTTGGGTCAAAGCATCTTTTTATGTCATTTCAGACAATGGAGGAATACATGAGCCGACCTGCCTACTGAGCTCAGCTCGACTTCATAATGGAACCTAAAGAGAAAATTTTATAATTTTGTATGTAACTTTTATTTCAAATCATGTAAAAATAATAGAATGTTATAATTATTTATAGTCAAGTGCCTTTGGGAATAATTCTTTGCAAATCTCAGGGAATTTCCTGCATAAATGTCTTTCTACAGATGTGTGCTTTTCTTGAACCACAAACACTACACCTGTTTCCACAAGCTCAGGTGGAAAATTATACTCAAGTAAGAGTAGTGTTACTAAGAAGAAAAGAGTATTTGGTACTACTAATATTAGTATTACTGCTGTTACTGCTATACCACCAATACTACTCTAGTAGTTATTACTGCTGCTATCCTACAACTACTAACATTGGCATTACTACTACTTCTACCACTTACCTACCATTATTGGCTTTTATCTGCTGTGATTACTTGAAGCAGCTACTACTAATATGTCTACTACTGCTAATGCAATTACTCTAGTAGGCTACTAGTATTACTATCCTGCTTATACTACTAATCTTAGTAACAGTGCTATTTTTACTCCTGCTACTATTTGTAATATTGCTTTATTGCTTCTAACTTCTATATTAATACTACAACTACTACTGCTGCTACCATGCCTAACTACTTATTTTCCAATAAAGAAGCAAAAGACAGTAAGGAAAAAATAAAGTCAATGCTTTATTTCTGATGTGGTCTATGACACAGAGCACAGTAAAAACAGCAGAGACACAGGAGGGTCTAAACACTGCAGTGGCTGAGGCTGGTGAGCTCCTGTACACAACCATTAGGTCAAAAATATCTCAGAACAACTCAAATCTCAAACTAAACTAAGATTAGAACTCAACGATCTATACAGTGGTTCTCAAACTGCTGGGCAAGGGCTAGACCGGGTTTAGACCTAGTCTTATTTAGGACAAGGAGATATCTGATTTTTAGTTGTGGTTTTGTCTTACTTTAGACCTGCTTCAAATCTGTTTTAGACTTGATTAGTTCTTTTTTTTTTGTTCTATATGCATCACGTCCAGAGTTTGGAGACAGATAATCTTGTTTAGGACAAGTAGGGATAATTTTTAGTCATGAGTTAGACTGGTTTTAGACCTAGTTTAGACCTGGAGAAGATTGGTTCTTACTTACTTTATTTAGTCCTCCAGATTTAGTTTTTGGAGACAATTTGTCACAGGAAAATAAGCGCTCTGTTTTTAGTACTGGTTTAGACTGGTTTAAGCTCTAGTTTAGACCTGGTTGAGACCTGGTTAAGAGTGGGTTAAGCTCTGTTTTAAATTTGGTTTAGTTCTTACTTTATGTAGTCTAGAGTTAGTCTTTGGAGACCTTTACTAGTGGTCGATTTCATTTATAGTCCTAGTTTAGACCTGGGTTTAGTCTAGGGTTTAGTCCTTGTCTAGTCTTCACTTTAGCCACTGTTTAAAATTTTAGTTTAGGTGTTACACAGTGTAGGTTAGAACTGGTTTAGTTCTGGGTTATACTCTTCCTGATACTCTCCAGGTTTAGTATATTTTTGGTCTTTTTTTTTTTAAACCTGTTTCAATCCTGAAGTTCTTTAGTCCTGATTTAGACCTGGTCCTGAACTGGTTTAAACTCCCTTCAGACCTGGTTTAGTCCTGGTTAAGTTTGAGAATCACTTGTAGCTTGTAACTCATTTGAATACTCTTTCACCAAATATGTCTATACACCTATGTACAACTTATATTAACACAATTACTCTGTGTTTTTGGCATCTTGTTCAGTATCAGGGTTTACAAAGCTTAGCAACTTCATCACTTCTTCATTGTCGAAATCCTCTGCTCCTCTCTGCTCCAAGTCGGACTGTTTATTTTCATTTCTGTCCGAGTCCAGTTGATCAAAATAGTCCCTAACCGCTCTCTCAAATGACCCCACTTCCTCCTCCTCTGTCTCCTCCCTTTTTTGGTTCATTTTAGTTTTGTATGTTGGGTATTTTGACAACATACGCGCTGCTAAAAATGTTGCTAGTTCATTTTCAGTATCATCATAATCGTCTTTTAGCTTGGTTGGGAATCTTTGCTTTGGCTGTGGTTGCCTAGCAATCATACTTCCTTGCCGCCAAATGGGAGAGTATGTGGTTTTTGTATAGTGCTTTCTGAATGGACTTTGGGCGTTGTTTTGATCCCCGGACAAACCTAAAATCTTCAAAACCCTCTCCGTTCTCATCTCCTCTGGTGTTTTTTGCCTAATTGGTAACCTTCTGGTGAAATAATCAGGTTTTTTGTAGGTCTTTTTAGTGTAAATCGGTGCAACTTTTAGTCTGGTAATTTCGCCGGTTCTCAACATATCGACGAGATCTTCGGGCGGGATTTGGTACTTTTGCGAAATCTGTAGAAGTCTGTAAATCATTTTGGGGTCGATGTTGTTTTTAAACTCAGTCGCGCTCCTCTCCCTCCTCTCCTCCTCTTCCTCCTCTTCGATCTCCCTTTTCTTCTGCTCCTCCTCTTCCGTCTGCTCCAAAACCTTCAGCAAATAAAAGTCAGCTAGGTTCGCCATCTCGCCTTCATCTTGGTCTTGAGATCTTTTGGTTATAAAGCTCGCATCATTTTCTTGTTCATTATCTTGTTCAGTATCTTCTAAATAATCCAATGCGCGCTCAAATTCTTGCCTACCCTCCTCTTCTTCCTCTTGATCCCAGTCGCCTTCATCATATACAGCATCTCTTGTATTAAACAAACCATCGTCTTCTTCGCTGTTTTCCCGCTTGGAATTGAAATTGAAATTCATTTTACCAAGCTCATCGAAGACAGACTGTAGTGTTGCCAGATTTTGTGGCGTATATTTCTCTTCCACGTTTTCATTTGTGCGTTTATAATTGTCTGAATGATCCATTTCCTCTTCGGCATCCTCAGCATCGGCTTTTTCATCGTCTTCGAACAATAATGGCATCTCTTTGTGCGGAGTTATCGGTTGAACTTTTGCGTTATCACTTTTTGAATTCGGTTTTCCCTCTTTTTCTGTCTGCTGAAGCGTACTCAAAACAGCTTGCAACAACTCTTCGCTTTTATCTTCTAATCGTGGTTCTACGCTTTGTTGATCTCGTCCCAGAGATCTTTCAAAGTCTGGAGATTGTTGGTCTTGCGATTTAGCGTTTTGGCGTAGATTTTGAATGTACTCGAGAGCTTTTAGCATGTCTTCATTCGGGGAGGGTGCATTTGATTCGGCGCCTCTTAGCCGGTGGTCTCTGAATGAAGCTGCGTTGATGCCAGACTGATCCAGGAACGTAGAAAGGAGCAAGAGGAGGAGCATGTTGGACAAACTAGTTTGAGAAGATTTCATAATTGCAGAGGAAGACAGCATAGTGGTGTCTGCAGAAAGAAAAAGAAAGTCATGTTAAATTTGAACTTTTTTACATTCTTTATTTTATTTTTGTTTCAGGTTGCAGTAAGTTTGGTTCCCTGTCAGGACAAATAAACAAAAGTGAAAGCTTTGGTTTACCATAGCTTCAAAAAGTAGTGCCATTATTCAACTGTAAACATTGTTGTCAGTTGCAAGGACTTTAAGACAGAAGATTAATATAGGAAGTTTCTGCTGCCAATCCCAAACAAATCATGATAAGGTTAAACATTGGTGGATTGCTGTTTCATTTTGTTATTTCTTTCAAAAAACAGTGCATTTCTCATAGCGTTAAATAAGTCGCTAGCCAGGCTGGCGGCACCTACTGCCTCCACTCAATTTTATTTCTCTCCAGTGACTAGGACAGCAATTGAAATACACTAGACGGTTTGCAAAAACCCCGGAAGTGTGAGTTCGGGCACCAGCCAATCAGGGAAGAACCATACATTTTGTGTTGTCAACGATTCCTGAGATCGAGGATTTAAAGCCGGAACAAAGAGAATGTTTGGTGAATTTTGTCAAGGGGAAAGACATTATTGCCCTTCTTCCTAAGGGATTTGGGAAAAGCTTAATATACCAGTTATCCCTGTTAGCAATGCATTACATACGTCACAACCAAATAGCAGCAATTGGTTAAATAAAAAAATAAAAAGTGTCTGCCTACTGTTGAGCGAACGAATTCTAACACTGCATGGTCCAATGGTTTCTACAAAGTGAAACCAGCTGATGAATCAGGCTAATAAACTGCTGCAATCCATTTGAAATACAATAAATTCTACAATGTGAACACAACCTATTCAATGGCATCATATCTCTAATGGAGTGTAGAGCTATCAATGGGTTTCCGAACCATTAAAAATTAGGTCTGTTGTCATAACAAATCAGAAAATTACATCATGTGAATTGCAGAAAATTGTGTCATTGAAACCCATGAATTGTTGCTCAATTGGTATGGCAGCTTGATAGTACTTTAAGGGGTTTAAGTCGACATCAGCTGTCACTGGGCACCTCAGTTTTCTAATGTGGACTTTTTTCTTTTGTTGAGTTATTTTAGATAAATATTGCAATTTAAAATGACAAAATAGCTATAATCTACGACTGGTGTCGTAGATTATAGCTATTTAACAGACGCAAACAGAATATGTCCAGTTTTACATCCTTAGAATCAAGGAGTAGAAACTGACCAACCATTAAAACCAAGGAGAAGATTGAGAGGCTATCTGATTTCATTATACCTTTCCTTTAACTTTGTTTGATGTGAAATAGAGACAGAAGCGCTGTGGCATTTGAGATAAGTTTGTTTATTTGTCCTGTCACTTTGAGACCCGTGGTGTTCTGATACTGTCACTCTAGAAACTATTCACTGTCAAATCTGACACTAAGAACTCCACGGCCATATTTCCCAGTCTGGCTCATAGTCCTGGTTTAGTGCTGTTTTTTTTCCTGTTTTACCCCTGGTTTAGTCCTGGTTTAGTTTTTGTTTTGACCTGGTTTAATCCTGGTTTAGACCTTGTTTACTTTGTTTGGATTTTGTCCTTGTTTAGAAATGGATTAGAAATAGATTAGTCCTGGTTTAGGTATGATTTTGTCTGAGTTTAGTCTTGGTCTAGTTATTCCTGATTTGGTCCTGATTTAGTTTGGGTTTAGCTGTAATCTGGTCCTGGTTAAGACATAGTTTAGTTCTGATTTAGAACTGGTTTAGTCATGGTTTAAATCTGGTTTAGTGCCATTCTGGTCAGAGCTATCATTGATTTACATTTTATATAATTTAACTCTGGTAATTATTATACCAGATTTTCAGATAGACTTGATTTACTCCTGCTGTATGATTTAGACCTAAATTAGTCCTGGTGTAGTCCCTGTTTAATTTTGGTTAAGACTACTCTCTACATAATATATACAAATACATAAATGCATGAATAATTATACAATATATTCATTCTGTCCCCTCCTCTCTCTGTCTTTGTGTATAAGAGCTGCTGAGATATCTGGACTGCAGATCTAAACCAGGACTTTGGGATTAAAGCCAGAAACTTTGACATTAAAGCAAGACAGAACCATTAGCTAAAAACAGAACTAAACCAATCCTGATTCACATTTATCACAGAACTAAACCAAAATTAAACTAGGGATAAACAAGTGGTAAAGAAGTAAACTATTACTAATTAAGAAATTGAACTAAACCAGATCTGAACCTGTCTAAACCAGGTCTAAACCAGATGTCACTAAACCATCTGAAATCACCAGGACAAATTCTCCGGAGAAGTCAAGACCAGAATTAAACCCGGTCTGATCTAACACAGGACTAAACCAGAAGGAAACCGAGACTAAACCAGCAGTAAATTAGGTCCACAGCTGGTTCAAAGCAAGACTAAACCAGTTCTAAAGAGGATTTTCATCAGGTCTAAACCATGTCTAAACACCAGGACAAAACCAGGTCTAAACCAGGTCTAAAACTGGTCTGAACACGCTGTATTCCCGTGTGTCTGTGGCGTATGTTTCTCGCAGCAGTATAAATCTCATTAGTGCGCACTGGACACAAATTGCTGCTCGCGGTGACTCACCCGGACCGCAGTTGTCAAGGTAACGACGTAAAAAAAAAAAAAAAAATCCACGCAAATAACAACGAACTCAAACTGCGTGCGTTGTTTTTTTTTTTTTTTTTTTTCTCCAATTATAATCCAATTATCTCTCCATAAACGCGAGTTCGTGCAGTGGTTTACGCGAATGGTATTGACAAACGTAAGAATTAACACGAAAATCAATACAGCTTTTATGTTTTACCAAGGCGGACTTTTTTCATTAAGGTTGGAATATATATATATATATATATATATATATATATATATATATATATATATATATATATATATATATATATATATATATATATATATATATATATATATATATATATATATATCTTATCTGTTATAGCTACCAAAATATTATAACTTCCATGCGCAAAAAAAAAAAAAAAAAAAAAAAATGCCCACATACATGCATACACACATGTATTATTTTATTAATACAAAATGTACAACTTGATGCTAAATATGCAACGCAGGTTATTTTGAGCTTCAAAATGTAACGAATGTAGTGTATGCATGCAAAGTGGCTGCATTTGTTACGTTGATTTTTCATTTTAAATTACTGTTCGGTTTCTCCAGTGACTGCAACGAAAAAACGATTTGATAAAAATGCATTGTTTCAAAATAAAATATGAATGATAGTATTTGTAAATCGAAGCTAGAAGCGCTAGAATCCACAACAAAGCGACGCTGTTTGTGTCAGAGGCGACGCACTGCACGCCCACATCTGTGCCGCCGAAGCATCAGGTTGCACGAAAAGCGTCAAAAGTCATCTAAACAAAAGCAAATTTAGAGAATGAAAACCAAAAAAATCCTACTACTACTTTCTAAAGCTTGCATTGGTCGTAATTATTCGTAAATATGAAACGAATCTTACCTCTTCGTCGCGTTAGTTGGGCAGGAGCGTCGTAAGAAGGTGGCTGTGCATGTCTCTGTCTGAGAGAGTGTTTCAGGACCGCGGACAGCTCCGGGGGGCTATTAGAGACTCCACGTGACTCTTGCGTCAGAGGGAGATACGCACGTCAGGCAGGCGCGTGCGTGAGGAATGCCACATACGCACGCGCACAGACACACGCCCAGAGAAGAGAAGAAATGGCGTGGACGCGCATTTCTTTTGAGTCAGACCTCCAAAAAAAAAAAAAAACATGTTGAAAAAGCAGAGGATGACAATAGCTTCACAGTGCTTTGTCATTGCCATTTGAATGGAAGTTTATGCTGCACAAGTAGACATTTAAAAATAAGGTAATCTGGCAAGGTGCGCTGTGTAACATTTCTGATATGTTTTTGGTTTGCCTGGAATGAAGAGCTGATACCACTCAAAATAAGAATGCATGTTGTTCTTGTTATTCTTTTGCAGCAGAAGAGTAGTCGCTGAATAAATGCAAGATAGCCTACACCATACTGTGGAACATTTCAAGTAAAGCAGCAGCATCATCTCCATAGAGACACCAAGACTTAACCAGGGTTGAACCAGGACTCAACTAAACAAAATCTAAAAAAGTGTGGCTAAAACAGAACCAAACTAAAACTCAATTCTTGGAGTAAATGAGAACTAAACCAGATCCAAGCCAGGACTAAACCAGGACTAAACCAGCACTAAACCAGGACTAAACCAGGACTAAAACAGGACTAAAACAGTACTAAACCAGATCCAAGCCAAGACTAAACCAGAACTAAACCAGGACTAAAACAGAACTGAACCAGAACCAAGCCAGGACTAAATCAAATAAGGACTAAACCAAACTAGGACTAAACCAAACCAAACCAAGACTGAACCAGGACTAAAATAGGTCTAAAACAGGACTAAATGAAAACTAAACCAGATCCAAGCCAGGACTAAACCAGGATTAAACCAAACCAGGACTAATCCAAAGCAGGACTGGACCAGGGTTAAACCAGGCCTAAAATAGAACTAATACAGAACTAAACCAGATCCAAGCCAGGACTAAACCAGGACTAAACCAAATCAGGACTAAATCAAGACTAAAACAGAACTAAACCAGGACTAAACTGGGACTAAAGCAGGAAAAAAAAAACTCTAAAGCTGTAATAAGATAATTCATACTGTTCTATTTTCGTGCGAAGTGCATCAGAATGTTGTATTTTTGCCTACTGGCTTAATTTACCACAACATTCTCAAATTGGCTTGTGAGTTGGTGAAACAAAACATAAACACAGAACACAACCCTCCATCCTTCAGTGAGATGTGGACGGCCCCACATGTATCCATTAGAAAACAAAGCCTGTTTTCACAGCTTATCTCTGATCTGTTTGACTGGAAGACATTAGTTACTATGGCGACTGTTATCTAAACGTGCTGCA